GTGTTAGTTGCCAGTAGCGCTCAGAGCAGCTAGCTCCAGCTGCTATTAGAGGAGTGCCTGCATCTCCTGAGGTCGCAAACTTCCAGGAGTTTGTTCTGCTCTCGCGCTTTTGGCGCCCTTGTGCAGGCTGTTGCTGTTGTGCACTCTGGTGATCAGCGAGCGAGAGAGATTGAGCTGTTAGTGCCCCCCCGCTAGATTAGAGATGGATTTCTTGAGGAGGTGTTCTCGCTTGACGCGTTTTGAGGAGGAGTTAGTTGCTCAGAGTAGGAGAGTAGTGGAGGGAGCTTTTGCTCTCGGGGAGAGGATCTCACTGCAGGTCTCCAGAGCCACCGGAGATGCTGTTGTTGATCGCTACCAGTCTATCTTCTCTCCCACCTCTCCCTCGCACTCTTCTTCTCTTGCTACTAGCCAGGATGACGAGGCCCTCGCAAGCAGCGCCCTTCTGCAGGAGCAGCACACTTGCGAGGAGACCTCTGAGACACAGGGACCTGAGCAGACCCAGACCTTTCCTTCCGATCTGGTCCCCGTGTCCTTATCCTCGGCTCTTCCTGGCTTGGCTGGCGCGCTCCCCTCGGTGCCTCCTCTTTCCAGCAGCCAGGACTCTGATTGCAGCCCCCACCTCGCAAAGCAGCAGACTCTCAGAGAGGACACATCAGATGCGCAGGGACCTGTACAAAAACACACTGCTTTTGATGACGCGGTCCCCGCTTCTCTGGATTACGAGCTAGTTTCCTCTGAGCTGCGCGCCAGCGATACCTTGTCCAGTCCGCTGCGTGAGCGGGCTCTGTGTGGGGCAACTGAGGGGGCACTGCCTGTGGTTGGGGGAGAGAATTTTGAAGGGAAGGAGGGTTCAGGCAGTGGGTGGACTCAGGAGGTACTTTTGGCAGCGCCCAGCAGGGCAGCCTGCGGTGCTGAGAGGCTAGAGGGGGCTAAGGTGGATCAGAGGGATGGGGCTGCGGGTGCGCTTGTGTCAGGCAGTACAATCCTTGATCTCGACGCGCACTGCATGACCAAGATATTCTCCCGCTTGGGAAACTCCTCCCTCCGGGCTTGCTCTCTGGTGTGTCGGCAGTGGCTCGATGCTTCCAACTACGCCAGGAACACCCTGACTTTGCAAGGCCAGCCCCGGATTGCCTTCCTTCCCAGGATGCTCTCGCGCTTCTCCGACCTCCGCTTTGTTCAGCTCATGGACTCTGGGAAGGGCTCAGAACTGCAGGGGACTGTGCCAATTTGCCTTAGCGACGCCCTGCTGGCGCTGCTGGCGCAGAGCTGCCCCCATCTCTTCCGCTTGACTCTGGTCCGCTGCGGGGTCGTCTCAGATGCGGGGCTGGCTACTGTTCTGAGGTGTTGCCCAGAGCTGAGAACGCTGCGCATGGATCACTGCGAGGGGTTCAGCGGGGCAGCATTTGAGGGGGTTCAGTGCGCGCTTGAGCAGCTCAACCTGCACTACTGCAGTGGGCTGACAGATGCTGGGGTCGGGGCAGTGGCATCGGCATGCCCAACATTGCGGGAGTTTACAGTCAGAATGGAGGGGCAGGTTGCTGCTCTTGCCGCTGGCTTTGAGAATGTGGCATTGCTCTGCCCCAGCCTAGAAAAGCTTACTGCCATAGCCTGCGGAATTACGGATACCACCCTGCGACGCTTTGCCGGGAACTGCCCCTTGCTGTCTGACATTCGCATCGCAAGCGAGCCGGGCATCACCGATGGCGGGATTGTGATCCTCCGATGTCGCCTGGCGCGTCTTGACCATCTCACTTTAGTCAACAACAGACATCTATGGCAGGTTCCGCGCAGCGGGTAAGTTACATCCCTATGAGCTTATAGCATTTGTGTTTGACCGGGATGGATCCCTTGATTTACTGTTCAAGACCCTGTTTCGTTCTGCTAGCATCTGGTTGTTCTGCCAAGCTAGTTATTACTTCCGGCATTTGCATGAAATTCTGACACCTAGGGCCTTTGCTATTTTCCCACAGCCTTCTTACTACTCGTCCCTCTCATTGCAGGCGAATGCAATTGAAGGACTTGGGCGTTGGCAATTTGGATCGCGCGACAGATCAGATGCTGCAGCGAATTTCGGAGGAGAAGAGCTTGGAAGCGTTGCGCATAGTTAGTTGCCCTGCTTTGACGGACGCCACTGTTAGAAAGATTATGTTCGGGTGCTGCCAACTTGATCGTTTGCTTATTGCAGACTGCGAGCTTGTAACCTCGGAGATCCTAAAAGCTTATATAGAGAGTGGCAGCAAGGCGCGGGTAGAAATACGAGGGTGTAAGGGCGTCAAGAGAGAGATGTTGCCTAAAGAGGTGCGGCTCTCAGGCAAGATAGTAATTGGATGAAAGCTTTGCTATATAGGTCAAGTACGAAAAAGCGTTTCGATCTTGAATAGGTGTTTATATCACATACTGATCCTAATGGTTAGTGCAACGACCGTTGTATGGGTTGTCCCTTGCTAGACGTTTCTTGACTCTAGCTATAATACAATTAATCTTAGCAGAACTGGATTGACCGTTAGTGTCCCTTCTTGGCACATCTTATGCTAGCCTAGAAATTAATCGATTGCGAACTTAAACATTGTAGAAGTTTGTAGAAGTCACTTTCTTAGTACGATCGTCACGTCAAAAAGGTTCAATGGAGGTACATTGCCAATTAGGACTGAATTTGTATATTCGTTAATGAAGCTTATGCGTATTTGGCAGTGCAATGCTTTTTGCCTCCGGGCTTTATTCAGGAGGTGCTGTAAAACGTATGCGGTGAATCATTTTGAATTCCTAGCTCCGTCAGTTCTATCCGATCATGTGCCGCTACCCTATAGATATGCAAAGATCAGACCGCACGCGAATTGGAGTTACAACAGTCGGCCCCACTATAGCTTGCATGAGTTAAGCAGCGCGGCCGTGAGGCCGTCGATCCATGCATGAGCTAGGACTGTTACATAATCGCAGGACAAATTGCGCGGGCCCGGGATCATTGGGCCCTGTCATCGGAACCAGGAGCGATAGCCAGCTAGCTCTATAGCCGCCTTGCACACAATCAAAGTCTGCAATATTGCAAGCTACAGGATGAATCTAATTGAAGGTTTCATGCATGAGCGGTGCGGACGCATGGCTCTATAACCGCTGATGGACCATCCGATCTGCACAATATGCGTACATGTATGTCACTGAGCCGCGCCCCGTTGACTGGCAAAATGTAGTACGACGTTGCAAATGACCGGAGCAGATTGATCAAATCACTAGCCTACAGAGAGCCAAGCCACAATCTGACCATTTTAGAAGTAAACACGGCCCGATCATGCTCTTGGGCATGTTTTCTAATCTGATCTCATCGTTACCGTCTGTGAGCTCCGGAACCATACTTCTGTGATCTCCAAATACCCGTATGATCAGAAGTCCAGATAAGAATCTGTGGTTACGTGCTAATCTCAAATACGTCACCGCCAGCTGGTAAAGCCCTTTTTTTTCACACGCTTCCGAAGGCTAGACGGGCCTACGTGGGCTTGCGGTTGACAGCTTATGGTGACGGTTCACAGAGCTTTGGAGGGTTTTTGCGCTGCTTTAGACCCTAACGCCACAGGCTGGCTTCCGGTACACCATGTTTCAACCCTACCAAAGATTTGATACTCGAGTATGAATAACGGAAGTGGCTCTGACTCTTGGAACCCGCTGTCTGCCTTCGCGGACTGATCTCACAACTTTCTAGAAACTGCCGCCGCTTGTGACTAGCTCCTCTCCTGCTGCGGGATCAACAGAGCTAGGGGAACAACTCTTGAAAACTCTTAAAACCCGGTTTGATCCACTAAAGAGCAACTGCCGCCTGCCGCTTCTTCTCAGATCTCTTATCATTCTATTAGAAGTCCGTGAACCTGCCAGATTGTTTTTGTTCAACACGGCAAGTCAGTAGCAAAATTCCATGTATAAATTTTAGTACCTCCCCTTCATCACTACGGACTGACCTGAACAAAAGTCTCACACGGCCTTCCTTACATACGGAAACGTTTTCAAGAAGCGTCCACGGCGTCGGGCCTGCACATGTACATAGCGTATATCAACGTCAGTACTCACGCAGAACAGTTGCACTGTGTGTCGCAAGACGAGCATGTGCTCCAGAGCGACTCCAAAAGCTGGCCAAGGAAACAATGACACCCGTCAAACGCCGGAACTCATAAAATTGCTCGAACCCGACAGCCGAGCAAATCCTGCATTTAGAGACTGACAGGCGCAACACACTGAACCCCCAAAGCATTCGCGGAAGGTCGAAACGAATAGCTGAAGGCTCCGCTACTCACTCCGTTTCCGATGGCCCCACGTCGGGATCCGGCTCCCCCCACCCGGTTGGGTTGCTGTCATCAATCCCCATTTGACCAAACGGGCCAATCGGCGGCGCTTGCTGCGGAGAAGCTCGAAAAGAGGTGAAAAGAATGGCAAGATGTCGGTAAGACATAGAAGAGACCAAGCGAATCTTTTAAATAGGGCTTTTCTGGTGGGCGGACAGCCATCCGGAATGGCACTGTCGGATGCGAAAGAAAACTGCTCAGAAGAGGCTGAAGATACAAAGGCAAGGCGAAGCACTGATCCCTACGGAAGCCGTTCTGAATCAGGCCGGCAAATACAGCAACAGGTCTCAGCCAAGCGCGTCGGACTGAGTGGTCGAACCTACGTATCTATTGTGCTCCAAGGACATGTCATTTCCGCAGTGCTCAGAGACTCTCTTTGCGTGTCAGCAACAAATGCAGCTCCTCATCATTCTTCACGGGTACTCGCACAATGATGCGGAAGGATTCTAAGGATGGGTGACGTACCGAAGTTGTGGAGGAGCTGGGGCCGGCCGTGTCCGCGCTCTGCTCCGCATCCAACATGGCGCGCAGGCGCGCGAGCTGCGAAACATACACGCATGAGTCAGGAGACGGAACTGGGAAACCGTAGTGGACGACCCATTCGCCAACATTTTACGAGAATTATCCTATTTTGCTTTTTTCAGTTTGCAAACACGGGTTAAGACTATCTTTTAGCCCTTAACCAACCCCTAACGTGGCACTTTTGGGCTGAAATGATTTCCGGACTTCTTCGCACCAAGTCCGTCAAAGGTAGATGTGGTGCGAATGGGTCGTGACTCGTGCCACTACGGAACATAAAAGCTGACGACCGAAAGGGAGAGATCGTGGGCGTTTCATTCCGCATGACGTGTCCGCCCAGTATTGAATGAATATGCAACCAATGGTGCTGCTCGCAGATGGACCAAGCGTTGAATGGAGGCAACGAGGTATATCAACAGGGAGCAGGCGACCAGTACAGGCGGACGAGACCGGACGGAGCCACAAGATGGTCAGAAGCGGAACGGAAGCCCGGCTTCAATGAACGAGAGGCGATGCTTACCTCGTTCTGGACGAGCTCCAAGGGAAAGGCGGTCGAGGACTGCGCAGAAGTCGGACAGAAGCACGTCGTGAGCCACGTGTCAGCACCAAAATAGACGCCACACACTGGGATGTCAAAATGCCATTCAACGCCTCTCGAGATGCAGTACGTGAAAGCTGACACTCCGCAGACGGGAGACTACGAGTCACACGGAGACCCCGCTGAGCTTTCTCTTTTGGTTGGTAGAAGTGGGACAATGTCAGCCCAAGAAGTCGGAGCAACGTTCCGGGGCTTGTAGAGTATCTTACGCATGTCAGAAGTTTACTGCTTGAATACCGCCGGTCTCTGAAGAACTTTAGACAGAGCGGCGGAGCAGCGGCTTACCCCGGGGTCTTCAATGGAGACGAGCAATTGCGACAGTCTGTGCCGGGCTTCATTCATCTGGAAAGTCAGCCAGGAGGGCCATTAGCACATTGGGAAAACGTACACCGCAACCACGAATATCAGAGTAAGAGCAACGTCTGCTTTGAACGTGACAACGAAGGCGGCCTTGGCTCTCACAGAATGTTGCCAATTTCAATCCACACTTCGCGCGCGCCTAATTAATCCTGCACGAAGGGCTTGCCGAACTTCTGAGAGCCAGGATTAAGAACTCAATTGACGGTTGAAGAAGACTTCTTACCTTTCCCCCCAGCTCGTGCACAAAGTGTAGGCGCGCAACTGCATGGTATCGAAGAATCGACGCGGCTCAGCAAATCGGACCGAAAAAAGGTAGGCCATTTTGCGGGCTCAAGCACACTTTCTGCATTATTGAATGGAATATTTCCACATTCAGCGGTCCTAAAAGCCGCGGCGTGTACGCGAGTGACAACGAAGATGAAACTGGATGCAATGCTCCGCTTACGAAAAGAATTGCATCGATCTAGCTCTCAGGGGAAGGCATTCAGAGGCGCCAGCCGAAGACTTTCCCGTTCGTTGACGAGCGGACACGTGCTTATACCACGTCAGCAGCAAAGTCGGTGACAGCTAAGGACGACAAAACTTCATTGAAAAAGACGGAAGAATAGCGGGTGTGTCTTGTAACTCGCCTCTCGGTAGTTAGCGGTTTCGTTCTGGTGCTGCTTCAGAAACAGAACCTCCTGCAGAACAGGGAAAACTGTTAAGGCACGAATGTTAGTCAAGGAAGACAAAGCGAAACTCCCGGACCTTCACGGAACCACTAGTTTCCCCCCCACAAACCTCATGGGAATCTCATGTCAGAACAACCCTGATTAGGAGTAGGTTTCCGGGCACCGATCACAGTCTTAAGCGAATTCTCTAGGGGGTAAAGCGCCACGCATCCAACCCTCAAATCTGGTCTCTCGGCATCCCGCCCAGCTTTTTGTAAACCTTGATCAAAGCACTCACAGCAAAGCGCTAATATGAGAAAGGCGCGAGTGCTGACCGCTTCCAGTCTGTCCACTTCTTCGTTCTTGACGCGCAGCTGCTCGATCAGCGTCTCCCGGTGCTCGCGCTCGGTCTCCAAGTGCGCCTTAAACGCGCGCCGATCCGCCGCCTCCGCAGTCGCCGCCACGTCAGCCGCCGCCTGCAGAAAGCGACAGCAGGGATATGGGCTGTGCAGAAAAGCCTTCGACAAAAAAGGCGCTTCTTCGAAAACAAGAGAACAAAACAGAGACAGTTGGGAGGTTGCAGATTCAAGCATTCCATCTGAAGCGAAGTTAAATGAACGGCAGGGTGCGGATATGGGCTGTGCAGAAAAACCTCTGACAAAAAAGCGCTTCGTCGGAAACAAGAGAACAAAAGAGAAAACAAGAGGAAGTCGCGGGGCAAAACAATCCAGTTGAGGTAAAGTTAAACGAACGCCAGGGTGCGTCGTCCGGAATCGCTAAAGGGTTTGAAGCTACCTCGATTGCCAGAGTGTGAAGAACAGCACGCTGAGCAGTGAAGCTTACTTGCAGCTTCGAATTCTCCTCCTTCAGCTTCGAGTTCTCGTGCTCCAGCTCTTCCGTCGACTTGGCGGAGCGGGACGAGGCCTTCTTGAGCGCCGCTTGAGCCGTCGCCAGCGCGCGCTTGAGTTTGGCGATCTGTGAAGAAAATGGCAGATCAGTCATTTGCGAAAGGCCAAGATGCATTTTCCCGGGTAAAGCCTAACAAAAAGGGTACCTCAGATTGCTGACTGTGAAGCTACAGGACCGCTCGGGCACACGGTGAATCTTCACCAAGGTAGCAGTGCAATTACTCGAACAGATGCAGCGAGTGAAATTAAAGAGGGTTGCACCATAAATCTCGCGCAAAAGTTCGGCGCTAAAGAAACACGAAAAACAAAGCTCCCTTCATCTTTCTAAGTCTCTTTCTTTCACGTTTCCCTGTCAGATGAAGAGCAGCGATTCTTTGTCTTCCTCGTAAAAGACTTCATAGAAGACGCGTTCTTTCTTCGATTCTTTTAGTTTGTTTTTTTTAGCCTTCCGGACACGTACGTACTTCCCAATACCTCATGCCTTCCGCCTCACCTCCGCCTGCGCCGCTTGTACGTCCCTCTCCCGCTCCGCCCGCGCGCGCGCCGCTTCTTCCTTCAGTTGGCGCTCCTCCGCCAGACTCTCATCCGTCAGCTGGCTCATCTCCGCCACCAGCCCCTCAAATTCGGCGCTCTTTTCCGAAATCTCCGCCTCGAGGTCCACGTTCACCTCCTGCAGGTGTGCCACGCGCGCTGCAGCCGTCTCGTGCTCGGTCTCGAGCGCCACGTGGGCCGCTTGTGCCCGGCGCAGCTCCGCCTCCAGTTCGACGATGCGGGCGGTGCTCGCGGCCAGGGACTCGACATTTAAGGTCGCCTGCGGATACCAACACGTGGCGTAAGGAGAGGCTCAAATTGGATATAGAGCAACACGGTGACCGGCGTCGTTTGCTTTCGCCGTATGGATTTCCTCAAATCTCGCTGTTAAAAACTACGCAAAGGCCTTTTCACAAGGGTGAACCGAGAGGACTTCATGCCCCTGCTCCTTGCGGAAATCTATTTTACTTACAGAAACTTTGATGTGTTGGCCTGACACAATCTCAGCCCTCACAGCTAGGTGCTCAACTCCTTTCACCGATACGGCTTGATTCGAGCTTCTGATGTTGAAAAAGCAGGAGTGCGTGACGACCAAACAGAAAGCTGTAACGCTTAACAGTGAAAATATTTGGCATTACGTCCGGTCCTGACCTTGTGCGCGAGCTGCTTCAGGGCCTCCTCCAGCTTCAATTTTGCGTCCTCGGCGCGCGCATCTGCCGCGCGCATCTTCGACTCCGCGGCCAACTCGGCGGCCTTCCGCTGAGCGCGGTCCTGCGGAATGGACGGCCGGAAAGCGTTCGGAGAGAGCTCCAGGGCTGCTAAATGATGCGGCGAAGCAACGAAGGGAACCAATAAGTCTCTAAGACCGAGCAGGGCGCTGAGGCATTACAGCAGTCATGAGCAGATTTTCTTCTTGAGGCAAAATCCTCAAGGACTCGGTAGCGGCGACGACATTGAACCTCACAACAAGTCGCTGACGGACGGTGGACTTCCAACTAGGAATAGTGCAATAACTTTCACGCGCTTGTTTCCGAAGTCTTCCCAATAAGCAAGAATCAAAGACGAGGGGCGTCCGATAGAGGGTCTTGATGTTTGTCGGAGAAGACTAAAAACCAATCGAAATATATATATCGCAGGTATGTCAGAAGCTCGTAGCCCTTTGAGAGCTCAAGCTCTTGTTCAGCGTGCGGTTCTTTCGCAAAAAGAGTCTGCTCTTCTCCTTTGTGTCGGTGACCTCGGCATCGTGAGGCTTCAAGGATGAAGCAAGCAGAGTGCCGTCCGCCATTTTCTGACCGCTTTCGAATAACTTTGTTCTTATAGAAATATGTCCGAATCGTTTTTCTTGTCCCAACAAGCAACCAGGAACGAAGAAGCGGTTTCAAAGCTTCATTCTACGTGACTATGTTCCCTCTAACTTCGCGCAATTGAGGACTTCCAGGCCCTTGCAGAAAGGCTCTCGTGGGAATGCTCCGTACCACTTATTCTCGAAAAGAGTACGGATTCAGTTGCGTCTCACCGCATTGAGCTGCTCCTCCACAGCCTCCGCACGTGCTCTTTCGCTGTCCGCGAGAGCGCGCGCCTCGGCCGCCTTCTGCTCGGCGGCGGCCGCCTTCTTGTCGACTGCGGCCAGCCGCGCCTCTGCCGCGGCGACGAGCGCGCGAGCCGATGCGCGCTCCTTCAACGCAGTTGCGGCGGCGTCGGCGAGGGACTGACGGCTTGCAACTTGGGCTTGCTCGAGCTGTGTGGCAAGCGCTTGCGCCTACAGGATTGAGACGAGGGTGATCAGAAGCTGTGTACATGAAGACCCTCGCGAACCCTGAAAGCACAGGAAGTGATGACCCGAGAAATATGCCGACCCTTACAAGAGGAGAGCGCGTACGTGGGAGAGAGAGAAAGGCATGCTGCGAATCTCATCAAAGACAGGGAACCCTTTCTTAAAGGTTGCGTTGCGTCTTGTCGGCAAAGCCAGAATGATACTTTGCAAGTGAGTGACTGTAGAGGAGGCACAAATGCTGAATTTGCACCGCTGAAGTGCTCCAAGCTTGTAAATAGACCTAATCTTGTCGTTTGCAAGGCAAATCGCTGCTCCTGGGCCCTGGATATTTACCTTGGCCGCCACCACCTCCAGGTCGCGTGCCGCGGCCGCCGCGTCGCTCCGCGCGCGGGCCAGCTCTCCTTCCTGCCGCGCAACGGTCTCAACGGCCGCGTGCAGCGCCGCGTCGGCATCCTCGCGGCCGCGCGTGCGCACCTCCTCCGCTTCCTCTGCCGCCGCAATCCGCCCTTCCTGCACTTCCGCCAGCGATGCGCGCAACACCGCGCACTCGCGGACCAGGGACTCCATCTGCACGCCGAGAGAAAGTTGGAATGAGACATCTGATTGAAGTCAGGGGATAACGGCGTCGGAATGGGTGGGTTGCGGTGAAATCTCGACTTCATCTTTCGGACAGCAGCAGGACGCCGCTTTTGGGCTAAAAAGTGACAAATGCTGGTTGATAAGTCACCAATCGTACAGAGGATTGCGAATATTTTGCGCGAGGGAATCGGGAAAGGAGATGTGTGCGCACGGGCAAGCATGGAACCCGCAATCTGCCCACAGAGGGACAAGTCAAAACAGTCCTTGCATAATCCGACACTCATCTTAGACCTTCCGCACTATGCCCTGCAGTCTCCTAAGTCATACGAGGTCTGGCGAACGACCTGTTCAATTATCCGCACCTTGGTAGAGAATGCTATTCGTTTTCTACACCAGCAAAGATTCGCCTGAGCGCTCAAATTGCGCACATGATAAGAAAGGCCTACCACAAACTGAAACCCACCTGTGCCTCCGCCTGCTGGCGCTTGAGCGCCTCTGTCCGCGCGCGCGTCTGCGCCTCCTCCTTATCAGCCGCCGCGATGCTGAGTTCCGCGCGCGCCCTCTCTAGCGCCTCACATGCCGCCCGCGCACTTGCCTCCGCGTCCACCCGCTGTTTGCTCTCTGTTGGAGCAAAGACACCTTTCAGCAGTCCATCAAAAAGCTCATTAAGCAGATGATTCAACGGGCGGCTGAGGTAAGATACGGTTTGCGGCCAGTTTCGTCCAAGTGATACATGAAGGGGTGACTTTTGCTGAATTGGACAACGACCAGAATAATCTCCTGTCTTCTTCCGTCGCAATCACCCCAGGGGCTGCTCGAAGAAACGGCCAGAATCAGTTCGCCGGGTCGCCGCACCTTACGAGCTTTTCTAAAAAGGCTGATAATCCATGCCGGAAGCGAAGACTAATTGATGTTGTAGGCGACATGACAGTCGTTTTTCCACGCTATGCCGAATGAATACGCAGTACCTGTTTGTGCATAAGGGTACTCGTTTGAGAAACTGCAAAGCTCACAGCCTCCTTACCTTCGGCTGTTGCAGCTTGTGCCTCCTGGAACTGCCTAGTCCGCGCGGCCAGGGAGCGCCGCGCCTCTTGCGCCTGCGTATACGAAAGCACTTGAACTTAAGAAGAGGTTTTAAGTCCCTTTTCTTACAGGACCAAAGCATTTGATAGATGACCAATCCTGAGCACGCAAACAACGACAAGCAGAAGGCCTGCACATCCTCTCCGAATGCATGTTACTCAGCTCTCAGCGTCAGCCCCTCTTGATCACGAAAACATTTATCATATGTTACAGCCAACCTCTTGGAAAGAACAAAAAGAGAATGCATACGTCAAGTCAATAGGGTCGGCAACCTCAACGTGACGGTGCTCAAACACACCACCAAAGGCCCATATCCTCCGTTGCTCTTACCTCCTTTTCCGCTGCCTCCACTGTCTTCACGTTTCCTTGAAGCGCGCGTGAGAACCCTTCCTCCAGGGCGACCCCCGCGCGGCGCTCCTTGTCCAGCGCGCGCTCCGTCTTTTCCAGCGCCGCCTGCAGCGTGGCCCGCTTCGCTTTTGCCTGCGCGAGCGCCGCCTCGAGGTGCGCGAGGTGCTTGTCGTCAGCATCTGAGTGGGCACCCGTCTGCTGCGCAGTGGCGGAGACCTTCGAGGCGTCGGCGATGGCTGAATTGAGAAAGCTCTGCGGCTTAGAGAAGTCGAGGGGAGACCGAGGGGAGGGGGGGTCGAAAAAGGCGGCCTGTACATAAAAGCCAAAGAATGGGTCAGATGCGAACCTGTACCATATGACGTGGCTCGCATTGCAGTCGTATCTCTAAGCGGCATCGTTTTGAGGAAGTTTCTAAAGCACTTCCAGCCAAGAAAGGATTGCCCATCAGGATCGCCCCAGAGTATATTCGACTTTCAGCAAAGCCTTTGCTTAGACACTTGGCACTCATGCATTGATTCACTGATGAAGCTCAAAGTTGAGTCAAGCGCCGGATTACGAATCCTCACCAGGGCTTCGCTTGGATCGAGCTGTGCTGTCTGCACTCTTCCAACGACGGGTGCACCGCCCACCTGCTTCTTGGTGCCCTTGGTCGCCGCCGGTCCCTGCAAAAAGGAACGAGTTCATCAGGTGCTTTAAGCTGTCCCGACTTAGTTCAACGCTCCAATAAGCACAAAACAATTCTGGAGATCCATTGGAAACTACTCCCTTCGGTGCCACGTACATAAGATCGGGCTTCCCCTAGCTGCCGACATATCTAACCGAAATGACCATACACGTGCCGCCAGCTGTCGTCCCCACAGCACATGCAGCAAGCAACCCGCTCGGTCCGCGCAGAAACCAGAAGCATTCTTTGCATCACAGGGCTGATCTACCTGTCCGCCGTGGTGCAGCGTCGATGCTGCGAATTCCCCCTGTGTAGCTCTGGCAGACCCGTTCGTCATGGGCCCCTGGACTGTGGACGCCTCTCCAAGCTGTGAAACTTGCGCCATTGCTGGCGCTGGCGCAAATGATAGAGTGCGGTTTGTTGGGAGAGCTGCTTCTGCGGGGGTTTCTGCAGCCGGCGTCCAGTGGGAGTGGGCAGCCAGGGTGGTTTTGTTGTGGCGGTTGGGGGGGGCAACACGGAGCGGCGTGCTCTGCTTCTGCAAGGAAGACGGAAGCAAACCTTGTGTGGCAGAGGACCGGAGGCGAAGAGCCCAAAAAGGCATATCAACAAGAGAGTCTAAGGTGACCAGAAGACGTGAAGAGCCACAGATAAGCGTAGCGTACAGTACTCTGCGAGACGATTACTGAAGTATCTTCTTGAAATTCTACTGCAGCATTTGGTTTCAGCAAATCTTGATGGAATCTGTGGGAGTAACAAGTTCAAGTGCAACATGCACCTGACTTCCAGTTTTGGCTTGAACACCCCTTGTGAAACTTGAAAAGGATGCTACCAGTCAGCATTCTCTTGAGCAGCATGATCGCTTGCCGCAAAGAGCCTCTCGAAAAGAAAGTGGTCTCCGAGTAGAGACCTTATAAGCCTCATTTGCGTCTGCATGCTGCACTAACCTGTTTTCCAGGCGTCAGCCCGCTTCCCCAGGCCGGCCGCTTGGCCAAGTCCTTCTGACGCAATGCGGTCTGCTTCCGCGCTTGGGTTGCGTCTTCAGGTCCCCGTCTTCCCTGTTGCAAAGATAGGAATTGTGCTCAACACCAGAATCCTCATAGGGCCACGTAAGACATGCATCGTCCCCCTGGTTTGAAGATTGGGTTGCCGGTAGAGGGTCTGGGTTAGGCAAGAAACACTTCTGCTTTTCCTTGAATCTTTTGATCTAAGTATTACTATGGCCACGTAAAAATGGGATTCCACTTTGGTCAGTGGAAGCGTTTGTTCAAGGACAGCCCCGTCCAAAGACAGCTGTATTTCTTCCATCTTTCTTTTCCTCAAGAGCCAGCGTAGTGAGAGCAATCAGTAAAGGTAAACCCTGCCTCATACAGTCGATTGATGTCTACACACTGCCACCTGTCAGACCTACCATGCACTCTCAGTGAAACAGAGCCGGGTGACTGGTGACAGCTGTCACCTTCTCTGAGGCACAATCTTGTCCCGATCGACAGACAACAATGCCAGCTGTCTGTCCCGACGGTGTTGTTGTAAACATTCCCCATTGCAACAAAAGTCTATTGCGTGGATCGGAAACTCTGATCTGGTATGGAGGACCTCACAGAGCATGGACACGAGCTGTTAATCACCATTGATGCTATGCACCACTCTGCCTGTCTCACCAGGTTGCAGACGTACGCGGTCGCGGCAGGGGCCTTTTCTACTATGGTGCTTCTTCTAGCCTGGCCTTGTCCTTCAGGGGCATTTGGAAGAAACCCCTGCACAGTTGCAAGGGCGTGAATCTCAGACTAGTGTTGAGTGGATGTGCCACAGGCAGGCAAGGACAATGACAATAGAAGAACCTGAATCAGATCACCGGGAGAGGGCTTTCAATTCAATAGGGATTGACCAAAACGAAAGCCTCTAAGGATTGGCAGAGCCTCAATTGCTCTGGACTTGGGAGCCTGCTTTTTGTCCAAGGCCATAAGCTTGAAAGAGCCACAGCATCATATGGAAGTAGAAAGCACGTTAAGAGTTTATGCACCTTAAGCCCCATGTCAACCCCCCTGCTGGTTGGACCCCTCCTTGTCGAAGCCATCCTGCGCTCCCTGAATACGGAAATCTTGGGGGCCTTTCTCAAGCGGACAGCATTTCCTGCTCACTTGTTCCGCCAAAATCTTCTAGGGCTGAAAGGGGTTTTCTTCAAAAGAGGTTAAGGGTTTCCAAACGCTTCCTTGCTGGACTATGTCGATGAACTTGGGTTTCTAGAAGTGAATCAACGAACTTGATTGAACGCCTGATATGCCATCAACCTAATCTCTCCAGTTAGGCGATTGATTCTCTCAAAGCATCTTGGCAATCGGCAAACCAGCTTTCCTGCATGCTGTTGAAATGCACCCGTCCAAGTGTCCAGAGCCTGTCTCATAATCTCAAATTTGGATGGTCAATGAGCTGTCTGCAGAAACCTGCATCGCAAAAGCATGCCTTGTGTAAGATGACTGCTTCTGCCCAGTGTGATTGTTGTGCTCTTGCAGTCAACTCCGGTGGCAGTGTACTGTCAAAATGCATGCCACGCCGCTGCTGCACAGGGCATGAAGCGGCTCTTCAAGACTTTCACCGACTCAGCTGAGTGTGTCTTTGCAGCCCCTGGGCGGCCTACTAGGTAGCCGTTGCATCTCACAGTGGCAGGGATCCCTGTCTGAACGACGTCATTGACGCCGGCACATTGTCGCTAAGAACTTAGCGCTCTGACTTGGGACGAAAAGTGCTGCATCCAAGGCAAATGCGGTTGCCAAAAGCTTGGTTCTTGAAAAGACCCCTCGTTAAACTCAAGTGCCGGTTTTCGGACTCATGGTTGTCGACTCAGGCTTGGTGAATGATTGTGCACAGAGCTTCGCTCCCACTCCTAGTTGCACGAGCTGCCAGCTCGATCAAGAACGCTGCTGAAAGCTGAAGGTGCAAACTTTCACGAGTTTGTTCTGCTCTTGCGCTTTTGCCATTGGCGCCCTTATGCGAGCTTTGGCTTTCGTGCTTCCAGCGATCAGCGAGCGAGAGAGCTAGAGTTAGCTGTTAGCTAGTGTGCGCCCCCGCTAGTTAGAGATGGAGTTCTTCGCCCGCTTGACTCCCTTCGAGGAGCGGGTCTGGGAGGTCATTGAGGGGGCCTTGGCTCTCGGGGAGAGGATTGCCCACCAGGTCTCCAGAGCCACCGGAGACGCTGCCGCTGGCGCGTGCGAGGCCCTCTTCTCTCCTCTCTGCGAGTCTGCCCCCGACTCGCAGTCCTCTCCTCTCTCCAGCAGCCAGGACGTCGAGGCCCTCGCAAGCAGCGCCCTTCCACAGGAGCAGCACACTTGCGAGGTGACCTCCGACGAGACTCAGGGATCTGAACAAACCCACGATGCTTCCAGCGAGGTGGTCCCTGGACCTGGCAGAGACGGATGTTTTGGCGCCACTGAGGGGGCACTGCCTGCAGATGGGGGGAAGGATATGGAGGGGAAGGAGGGCGCAGGCAGTGGAGGGTCTCTGGAGGCAGTTTCGGCAGAGCCCAGCGGGAGGGCCTGCCACGCTGAGGAGTTGGGGGGGCCGTGCTCGTTCATGGCCAGCGCTTCCAGCGCGCTGTCTTTCTACCCCCCCTTCAGCTCCAGTCCTGAGGCTTCTGCATCTTGCGAGTCGCAGCCCGAGGGAGAGCAGAGCCTCGCTGGAGAGATCCCGAGGGGGCAGGGAGCTGAACAAGCTCATGATGCTTTTGATGACCTCCCTGCCCCAGTCAGAGATGAGCTGGCTTCCTCCGAGCAGCTCAAACAGAGTCAGCTGCAGGCTTACGAGCGGAGCCTGACTGCCTGCGGAGCGGTTCTTGCTTGCGAGGAGGGGGTTGCGATGGAGGGCAGCGAGGAGAGGAAGGGAGCTGCGGTCCTGGTAGACGAGAGGGGGTGCGGGTTTGCGAATCTGGACGCGCTTTGCCTGACCCGCATCATGAGCTGCTTGGACGACGCCTCCCTCCGGGCGTGCTCTTTGGTCTGCTGCGAGTGGCTTGAGACTTCAAACTTTGCACGGCACCACCTGAGCTTGCAGAAAGTCTCCCAATTTGATGCTCTGGAAGAGATCCTCGAGCGCTTCCCTAGAATCGAGAGCGTCCAGGTTGGCGAGGAGGAAGGGACTCCGATCGCAGAGCCGCCCTTTAGTAACGCCTCGCTCAGACTCGTTGGTCGCGGCTGCCCTGGTCTCCGCTCGCTTGACCTGGTGCACTGTTCGGCGATCACGGACGCGGGGCTCGAGGTGGTGCTCAGGCGCTGTGGAAACCTAACGGCGCTGCGCTTGGAACATTGCGAGAACGTCAGCGGCACAGCCTTCTTCTGGCTGGCCCCGTGCAAGATTGAGTGGCTGGCACTTCGCTGGTGCGGCTTGCTGAACTCGGGGCTGGGAGCTGCCGCAGCGGCGTGTCCTGAATTGAAGGAGCTCGATGTCAGGGTGAAGGAGGGGGGATTTCCGGTGGCCAAGGGCCTCGAGCGGGTGGCAGAGCAGTGCCCCAAGCTGGAGCGAGTGACATTTCACACCTGTGGGGTCACTGACACCACCCTTAGGAGCTTTGCCACTGGCTGCCCTCTCCTAGAGCAAGTTACCATTGCTTGCGAGCATGACATCAGCGACGCTGGGGTTGCGGCCCTCCAGCAACATCTGCCCCTGCTCAGCAGCATCACCTTGTTCAACAACCGCCAGATTAAGAAGATACCACGCAGCCGGTAAGCCGAGTGTCTAAAGGTGTGATGTCAAAATCTGATTTGAGTAGTTTTACTTTAGACGTTCTTTCAGACGCGAGAAGAGCCTCTGTTCTGGAGAGGGTAGGGCTTCAACGCTAGGATGAAATTGTTCCTACCGTTATGACTGACCGGGCTGTGTCTCACAAAGTTGGATCTTCTATCATGTTCTGACTAACCTTGCCGCCGTAGCATCGATTTTGGTTTGTCAGACGGAAAGCAGCCAGACTAATACGAGATGCGCGTGTCCACCAAAAACATTGACTGTGCACCTGGAGCTTTTGTTGGAGCTAATCGATATCTTTCCGTATGCAGGCAAAGCCCACAGATCAAAAACCTGGGGATAGGTGCCTGGTTGGAAACACCCGATACCGTGCTGCGGCAAGTGACTGAAGAGGGGGGGCTGGAAGATCTTCGGATAGCCAGCTGCCCCGCTCTAACTGATACCACTGTTGAGAAGATCTTCACGTGCTGTCGTCACCTAAAACACCTGGTCCTTGCGCATTGTGAGCTTTTGACTTCGGATGTTTTGAGGGCGTATGCACAGAGCGGCATTCAAGCCCGGCTAGTAATCCTTTCGTGTAAGGGGCTCCAAGAAAGCATGTTGCCTGCAGACATGCGGTTTGCAGGCAAGGTATCCATCACTTAATTATGAGAGTTAGAACAGGGCACGCAAATGAAGGAACAGGTCGCCGGAACTGACTGTGTTTGCTGCCTTTTAAACTGCTTAGCATAGGACGGTTTACCTTATCTATTTATTTAACTGCAATTATAGAGGGACGGCTGCATCAGGACAAATGATTATTACTATACCTAATTGAAAAGTTTAAATAGAGATTTTCAAGGTCTTAGGCTAGATTGCCAGCTGAGTACCATAAACAATAAAAACAACTCAGTGGTCCGGCTTTAGTAGAACGAGTTCAAGGAGAATATTGACCGCGTACTGGGCCTGTTACATTTACGATGATATTTGGAGACACCGACAATTGTAAAGTTTTTACGCTTCCGACACTTGCGGCTGTGCGGCACCACTCCTTCCACCTCGTGCGTCCAAATGATATGACATGAGCTGCAGACGCCGCAGCATGCACTGGCACCATGTCATATGCAATGATTGACGTCATCATGTTGATCGCGATCGGTTTCAGGGCCGAACGCCCTCGGTCCGATCCTTGTCAGGCTTTCCATGTGTATGTATGAGAAGTTAGGATTGCGCCGGCGTTACCTGTATATATGCGGTGTACGGTTCATGCATGATCATTAACACATGCTACGGTAGGCGCCCCAATGAATCATTGTCTCGCGATATCATGAGTCTGATCGGAACCAAGATCAGTTTATTTTCGACGGCCGCGGCCCCATGGCTGCTGGCTGCAGGGGGCGCCGCGCACAGCTAACGAGTGTAAGCCGATCATGCTAGTATCAAGCGAGAGCTGCGTCAAGTCTGGCATGTTTAACCACTGGGACAACGCTGTAAATTGCAGAAACCTCATCGCATTATGGTTGGACAGAGTGCCGTTAGCAAGAATTGGGAATCGGAGCTGTCAGCTACTGAGCACTGCAGTTGATGCCATGCTGATCTTACTCTATGTTGGTGTGATCTCCAAATCCTATGCTGAGGCCGGAAGTCCAGGTCACAATGATCTCTTGCTTTCAATGCTCAAAGAATATGGAAGAGAACCTGATCGTATCTTGCTGATTACCAGTGCAACAACTACCCTCCTGAAGCAGAACCAAGTAAGACATAGCATCCTGCATCCGCTTGTCATTTTGAAGAGCTCTGAATGTATACCATCGGGGCCACTGCAAACAACGAAGCTACAATCAACGGATATCTTTAATCAAGACCAGTACATGTCCGCGCTCTCCACAGCATCCTTTCGTCCACAACTCAGTCACCTTGCTTCCGCTACATTCCTTAACCGTGCCGTTTGAAGGCCTGCAAAAATTGCACACATCTGATTTGAGCTTTCAATCGCAAAGTCGTAATCAACTTTGTTGTCCAAAGTCGCTCTCGAGAGACACCGTTGGTAAGTGCACATGTGCGCCGAAGATTGTGCCCCATGCGTCTCGCACAGGAGGATGTTTTTTGGACGAGCTTGGATATTAGCCTCTTCTGCGGTTTTTAGGGATCAACAGCTTTCGCAAGGGAACCCTTTCACTCCTCACCTTGGCAGCAGCACGGGATGGCGACAAACTTTCAAAAGCTTTTTCAGGTCCCAAGACGGAATTCGGCGTTTCGACATTCTGCAGTAGAGGGACAAATAGGACGGGTTCGGCACCATATCTAATGTAACGAGCCTCCTCGTATCTGGTTTTAAGGTTAGCAGCCGTACGAGAACAGAGAGGGTCCAGCGAATAAAGCAAAGAACATCATCTTTCTTAAATGCAGATATCAACGAAACCGCAACGGGTGCTTCTGTGGGCACGTTTCAGTGAACCTGCGCGCGACGACTCGTAGCAGAATCCTCTAGCAGGAAGAAACAGATAGATACCGGGCGATGCAACAACTGTGCGGCAGGGGCATGCTGGCAAGTCCAGGACGTCAAATCTGATGCTTCTCTAAGAGCGGCAGTTTATATGACACACCCCTATGCTTCCCACGGCTTCTGATGGAGGCTCAGCTTGAGATAAGGTGAGCCGCAGCTTCCGATAAGACAGTGGTGCACTGACACGTGGACAACTTACTTGAGGGGGGCCGGGCAGGGACGAACTTTCGGGCGGCGAGCAAGCTGTGTTCCGCTGTGTAGGGAATCGCCCGTCAGCGAAACGATGGCAGCGAGACATTGGAGCTCAAAGCAGATACAGCGAGCGATTGCGCAAAACATCCGAGCAGGTTATAAATGGCGGACCGTCGACTTCTGCGCATCCCAGGAAGTTAGGGTGGGCTGGCTGACAAGAGGGGAACCAGAAAAGCCATCAAGCAAATTGTCAATGAGGTCTTACACAAAATACTGGAGACTTCGTAGATACATCGGGCAATTACAACGACTTCGCCGTGGGCCATTTGCAGGACGCAAGCGGCCGTCCCCATGCTCCTGAGACTACCATGTTATTAATGCCCATGATACAACATCCTTACGATATGTAAAAACTCTCAGTTTCATATCAGCTGCTTACGGAAAGGGATCGGAGCTGCGCCGTCGCTTGCTCCGCTTCCTTGCGGAAGAAGGCAGCCTGCGAAGGACTTGTCATTCTCAGTCGTACGTCTGGTCGTTCTCTAAATGCACTACGGATGACGTAGCGATCAGCAACAGCGAGCTAGAGAACCTCATTGCGCATGCAAGAAAACTTCTCAAACAATGGCAACCCTGTCAACACTGTGGAAGCGCAGACTTCGGAGATGATAGTTTGTGTCAAGTCCAAGCGTACCTCCTTCTCTAGCTCCGCGATCCTGTTGTTGATGTCAACGCGCTGCAGCAGAGAGGGCAACATTGACGATCAGTCGCTTATTCGATCCAATTGAAAAGAAAGTGAAAGATGCTAAATTTATCTTGTCCTAAACGACATGGACAACAGACCAAGCCTCTCTGCAATTTGCCAACAGCCGTCCTTACCGTTGTGCAAGAGAATCAGTCAAGACCTTCACATGAATCTGACATTGCTATGGAGCAGCCCTTGAGGCGAGCGAGAGAGGCCAGAAAGCATGCAGGAGTGGAGCAACCGAGGCGTGCTGAAGACTTGCCTCCTTGGCGGTGCCGCTTGCATTAATTGCGTTCGTCAGCTGCGCCACCTTCTGCAAAGGTTACGCCAAGCACAAGTCAACACAAAGCCAAGCCAGACGGACACCCGTTTATCGGGAATCCCAAGCATTCCAAGCCTCGAACAAGACGGGGAGCTAATTAATTATAAGCTTAGGTAGTGAAGTAAAAATTTCAAGAGTCCATAATTCTCTTGGCATGAGGTCGTCACCGGCCCGCGAGAAGGGGCGATATACGAAGGCACACGGCAGCCCAAGTTCAATATCCTCAAAAATGACCCTCGACCCCGAGAATGCTTCCCATTTAGACCAGTCTCGCGGTGGCCTTACCTGCTCCAGCGCCTCCCGCTGCTGCTCCGCCTTGTACGCCTTATGCTTCGCGCCTTCTAGATTAGTGCTCAGCTCCTCGACCTTGCGCGCCTCCTCTTGTAGCGCTTGCTGATGCAGCGTGCGCTGCGTGGCCAACTTCTCGCTCATCGTCTTGAACATCTCATCCGACGCCTCCCCCTTCTCTCTCTGGAAAGGTGAGTGCAAAGTCAGAAAGTACAGAAGAAGGTACCGCAGAGGCTGACTAACGGAGGAAGTCAGCCGTTGTTCTTTCTACCGTACTCTAGACGGAATTTCACGTTGCAAGACCTTGGTTCAAAGGACCGGGAAAGCCTCGCCTTCTGAACCTAGATGCATATGATTGTTCTGCGCATCTTGCCACCAGCTTCAAGTTGGGCAGCAAAAGGCTGCAAGAAGCTCAATCTCACCTCAGCTCGTGCGAGCTTCTGCTTCAGAGCCTCGGTTTTGCCCTGGAGCTCTGCGACGGCTTTCTTGGCGGACGCGGCCGGCGTCGGTCCCCGGGCTTGCTCGAGGTTCTGCTTGAGTGCGGCGACCTGCAAAGCCACATTTTCCCGTTGAAATAAAGCGAAATAACTTTCGAGAGATCCTGAAAGGAACGGGACTTAAAGGGTCCGAATTCACAAAGAAGCAGTCTTGTTACACCAGCAAGCAGCCGTTGACGATGCTGGAGGCCATCGAAGCGATTGAGATTTTTGGACACGTTTAGTGAATGCGATGAGTAAACCCCAAAAGTAGGCTTTTAAGCTTTCCCGATACCAGTCACTCGATCTGAGAATTGATTCAAGCCTTACTCCTACGGTTTCTTACACATAACTCGAACCTTTTCCCAGAGAGCGCAGAAACCAGCAGTCGAGGCCACGGATGTCCTGTTTTCCCAGCGTCGACACCGATCTCACCTGTGCCTGCAACCGCTCCATCTGGCGCTCCAGCTCCGCTTCCCGTTCCGCCGCCGCCTCGGCCTCTGCGGTCCGCCCCTCCTCCGTCAGCCGTTCCTCATAGCCATCGATGGCCTCGTGGAAGACGGCCTTCTCCTTTTCGGCTGCAGCCAGCGCCGAAACCAGGCGCTGCGCTTCGGCGCGCCACGTGGCTTCCGCCGAGAGGGCGCCGTCCCGTTCGGCTTGGATGCGAGCACTCTCCGCCTGCCACGTGGCGTGCTCCGCCCGGAGGACGGTGACGCGCTGCTCGGAAGCGGCCAGGGCGGCCTGCAGCTGCAAATTGGGGAAGAATGGTCCGCGCATTCAGCGGCGGTGACAATTTTGTTCACACGTGTGGGCGTGGGAGGTAATGTGACGTCACGATCAGCACAAAGTCGAACTCTGAAATAAAGTTTCCCGCCTTGTAAAGGGATAGTCATTTTTTTCCTCTCGACATGTTTGTTCGTCGACATGAAACGGAGAGGGACGAGGCAATCTAACCGATCTAATGTCCTCAAAAGTTAGTGTGTCTGATGGCAAGAAGCCAAACCTTGCCATAAGGCACGGCCGGCTGGACGGTCCCCTTTTCCTTTTTCTGACTGGACGCGATCTCCCCAAGCGTTGCAAAGTCGAGGCAAGAGGAGCAATCTTTGAGTTTACGCCCTGCGGCTGACTGCCATTTCCAATCTCCCTGAATGAAGTTCTTCCGGATGTGTCGCGGTCAATGTAGCGGTGGGAGAGTTCACAGCTTGATTGCTTGAACAAGTGCTCCGTCTTGCAACCGGCTCAAAGAATTTCAAAATCGCACTCGTCAACTTGCCTTAGACACGCGCGCTGCGGCGCCCGCCGCGTTGCCCTTCTCCGCATCGAGCTCGGTTTTTAATGCGTCCTTCTCCTTGATCATCTCGCCCAGTGCTTCTTCCATCTGGGCGACCTGCAGCAGCAATTTGAAGATCAAAGCCCGGCCCATCGCGGTTCCCACAAAAATCAGGCTGTCTTGAAAAAATTGATTCAAAAGCTCAAATCTTGCACTCGAATACGTAGTCTGAAGAAAGTCAATATCGACCAAGTCTATACTGGAAGAGGCAGGTCTCATTCCGCACCTGCGCTTGGAGGTGGATCTTCTCCTGTATCGACAGCAGCAGCCGCTCGTTGACCCCCTTCAGCTGCTTCTCCGAGTTGTTGAACTTCTTCTGCAGCTCCGCGCTGGAGGCGGCGAGCGCTTGCATCTCGCTCTGGGCCGCCGACACCGCGCGCGCCGCCTCGTCCTTCTCTTGGAGTACGACGTGGAGCTTTGCCTCGACGGCGGTCCGCTCCTCCTCCGCGGTGGTCAGCTTCTCGGTGGCGTCGTCCAGGTCCTGCTGGAGGCTGGAGACGGTGGTGCGGAGGTCTGCGGAAGCCTGCTGAGCTGCGTGGAAGAGCCGGCTGTTCTCGTCCCTCTCAGCGGTCTGCAGAGATCCAAAGTGTGGGAGAGACTTCAGACATTGATGATTCAAATAGGTAGCTGAAAGAATGGTTCTCGCACGTTTCTCGAGTTCGCCCCTACAAAGTTCGAAGTGACAGTAGCGGTTGTCCCTGAAGCAAAATGCTCTGCGGAGAATCAAGAAACAGGGAGAGGCCTTTCTTGTGCCCTTCAAAGCGCAGTACTATCACAGGGCGGGAATGCATACAAGACCCATACAACACACGTTTGTACAATACCGCCGGGTCGAAGAGACACACCGCCCGTTTAAACTCGGAATGCTCAGCAGGGTGCAGCCAACCTGGTATGGAGGGGAGTGACAGAGTTTGCTACTTATATATCAAACAGATTACTGGCAATGTGCGTCCTATTTCTTCTGAGTGGATTTTGCAATGAGAGCGATGCACTTACCAGAGCCTGGAGTTGCTTCTCCAGCACGATCTTGCTCCCCTGCAGCTCTGCGAGCTCCGCTTCCAGAGCCCTCGCGGCGTCCAGTTTGGCGGTCAACTGCTCCACCGCTTTCTCGGCAGCGTGCCGGGCGGTCGTCACGGCTTGCAGCTCCTCGCCCGTGTCCTCCTGTGCACCGTAAATTTTCGTCAGTGTACCATAAACTCCTTCAGAAACGGGGGGAATTTGACCAGAATATCGCGTAAGAACACGAGACGAGCCGATGAGAACGATCGGACTCGAGGATGTGCTGAAAGCCGAGGCCCCAAGTGGGTTCGTGCCAGTGGAGTCTCCTCCTCGTCCGCTATGATCGACACCTTCTCTTTTGAAGGCAGAACCGGCGGCTGTCTTATCAGCGAAAGTACTGAAGGCATTTTCAATGTACAGACAGGAGAAAGAGAAACAAAGCGTCAGGCCAAGAGATCTGAGGCTGAGCAACCTACTTGTAGCTTGCTCTGCTCCAGAAAGGCAAGTAGGTGCTTGTCCGCGGCGTCCTGCACACAATCAGCCGTCGATGGTCAGCCCATACCTAGGAAAAACATTTTGTAGATCCGTCAGATCCTATCTGACATCAGCGATGCACAGAAAGCCTGGAAGCATGACACGACTTCCGGGCGATAAATTTCCACCTCAAATGGAAAGCCCGGTAGACGTACGCGAGCTGCTTGTGACAGACAGGTCTCCCGATTCGAATCCACCCCTGTTTTCCGCAGCGTTCACTAGAGCAGATCTTTTGTTTCTCCTTGTACAGTTCAAAGCCCGAGCATCACATATGTTGCTGTAATCTCAAGATATGCTATAATGCAGAACTTCGCGCCACTCCTACGTCCACGTCGGCTCTCACCTCAGCCAATTGCGCGGCGGTCTCCATGTACGCGCGCTCGAGCTGCGTGAGCGACTCCTCCAGCTTCCCAATCGCACCGTCCTTCTCGACGCCCGCCGCGCCTAGTTTGTCCACCAGCTTCTGCAGCTGGTTGGCCTGCTCTTCCATAGCAACGACTCTGCAGAGGAAAGAGAGCAAGTAGTTGTGTGGAAAAGCTTGCATCTAAGTTGTGACTGTACGATGACACTGCATGTCGATAAAGAACGCGGCGGGATTTAAAAGTAACAACCCCACGAACAATCGGCCTTGACGCTGCCCGATATCCTCTATCCCGATGCGAGAGGATGCTGGCGTTAAAAGTTTCTCAGACTCTCCTCGACAAGAGGCACGTCGAGGAAAGCCCACATCCTAATGATGGTGCGGACACAAAACTTTCGATTACTGATCCGACAAATCTATCGAGTCGGTCAATTAAAAAGCCAATGTGAACATTCTTTTGGGAACTCACTTGGCCACGGTGGCCTGATTTTCCTGCTCGGCAGTCTGCAGCGCTTCCTGGGCAGCCGCCAGCTCCGCTTCCAATCTGGCCGCCTGCGCGCGCATCGCCTCCGCTTTGAACGGCCCCGCCTCCTCCCCGATCCACTTCCACTCGAGCGGTAAACCCCCGTCCCCATCTTCAGCATTCCCTGGGCCTCCGCTGAGCAGCCCAGCAAACCTAGGGGGCGGCCTGCTCTCCCGCCGGGCCCCGATCGCGCCGAACGCGCGGGCGGCCGCGCCTGTCTCGCGGCCGGCTGTAGTGGCGGGCGCGTAGGCGGCCGCGTCGTCGTCGGGGCCGCGCGCATCGGCGGCCGCGCCGAGATCGTCGTCCGCTAGCGTTTCGCCCGCACCGAATAGCGGGTTTTGATAGAACAGGGCTTCTAACCCACCGACGTCCTGCATGCGTGTAGGCGAACTTAGAGAACGTCCTTGGATGCTGTTTCTGAGGCTGTTATTTGAAGGCTTCTGCCTTTCAGGCAAAGGGTTGGTGTTCCGGTCGTCCATTTTTGAGAGGTTTGAACGCTAGGCGACTGTCTGAGAGAGTCTTGCGCCTTGGTTTCGACAAATTGATTGCTTTGTCGAATCAGAATCTGCTGAGTTGGTAGCAGGTGACCGCGCCTAACGTCATCACGATCGAAGAATGGAAAGTGAAGGAATAGGTACTAGGTGAGAAGAAGAGCCGACGAGCCCTGATTGAAAGCAGCTGCAGTGAAGGCAATTTGAACCATGTGAACATCAGTTGGCAGCCCCCAGCACGACGAGGAGATAAAATTGTCAATCTGCATACAAGTGCAGCTTACGGAACACAAGAAGTCCCCAAAAAGCAAGTAAATCTGGGCGGCAGATCCGCAAGAGGAAAAACATTTGAAACCCGCGCAAAGATCTTGAGTTGCACATTCTGATCTGAGAATTTTTCTGTGCTCACCATCTTGCCAGCGCCCGTACGCCCGTGCCCCGCTTGCTCCTCAACCGCCATCTTTCGTTTTGGCGCCACCGACGTTCGTCCGGTTGCCTCCGCCGGGCTCTCCCTCTCCTGCCAGCCGTGCTTCTTCTCCACTGCCTGGTCTGCCTCCAACCCGAGCGCCTCGAATTTCGGGGGCAGCGTGCTCCTCTCGCCCTTAAAGCCGTCCCGCACCTTGGCGCGCGCACGGCTGGGCGACGAGTCGCGCGCTTTCTGGCCTGCGCTGGCGGGCGTGCTGGCGGGGGCGTTGGTCACTCGGTTTGTCGTGTCGCCGATAGCGTCGCGGGGCAGGCCGCGAGCCGCGCGTTGCAGCTTGTCGCCCGGGGTGGAGACGGAAGTGTCCGGGCCAGCGCCTCCGGGTCGTCTAGGGCCTGTACAAGATGGAGTTGACAGTTTGAAACGGGTCAACCAGATGTAAGGTTTGCTGGTTCGGCAACCGTCGAGCAAGAGCTTTCCACGAGCTTTCTGCGAGGAATCGACGCTGTGGTCGCCGTATGTAGGTCCGAAGTTTAGATGCAAGCAGAGTATCTTACACCGTCTAGGACCGGCATGACTTTGAACTGGAAATGCCTGCCGAAATCTGCTGCCTCAGCTTGGAAGTCACTTTCAGTGGCATGCTTTTCGAACGAAAGTTGTCAGGATAATCACAAAGACGTTGGAAAAAAACCGTCTCAAGACGAAAGGAAGATTGAGGCAGAAATTGAAAAACCAGTCAAAGGCAAGCAGAATATGCGAGCCCCCTGCACGCACATAAGACGCACAAGCGGTTGCTTGACCCTTACGCGTAGTCCTGACGGTCACCCCTCACCTGTGACACGTAATCAGCCACATCCTGTCCCGCCTCAAACAGCGTCGTCGTCGCCCCGGGGTCGCCCGACTCCGCCTCCATCCGGGCGTCCTTGATGCTCGCGTCGGCCTCCTTGGCCGCCATCTCAGGGAATTGCCTGGCGGCCGGGTCAGGATCGCGGTCGGCGGCCGCGACGGGCGAAATCGCGGCGGCGTCGGCTGCGACCGGCGGGACTGCGGCCGCGTTGGCTGCGCTGGGCGGAACCGCCGCGGCTGCAGGCTTGTCTTCAACGGGCAGAACCGCGGCCGCTTCGGCTGCGATGAGCGGAACTGCGGCCGCGTCGGCTGCGACGAGCGGAACTGCGGCCGCGTCGGCTGCGACGGGCGGAACTGCGGCCGCGTCGGCTGTCACGGGTGGAACCGCGGCCGCGTCGTCTAGGATGCTACCGGCCGCGGCGCCCAACGTGCCGGCCGCGTCGCCGAGCGCACCCTTGGCTGCGCTGCTCAAAGTGTCGCTCGGTTCGGGAAGGGAGAAGGGATGGAGGAGATCCCTGATTTCGCCCGGAAACTGCGAACGCACAGTGTTTGTTAGAAGCATGTACTGCCAGATAAGGCCACTTGGAGAGCCTACGAGCCTTCATATCTTTGCTCGTACCGGTGTCATGGAGGAGTCGTCGAAACATGGTGGACACAATGCAATGCACGACAATTCTTAACATGATTCAAACGGACCTTCCAATGGTAAATCCAGCAGTTGGATAAGTTGCTTAGCTGATTTCCCGACGACAAAACTGGGAAGCTTTTTAAAACAAGCGAGTGGATACTCTCGGAGGGACAGATTCTAGACACGCTTCATCTTCAAGCTTCACCGCTACTTCATATGACTTTGCGGAGTTGAACGCAGACGCTAAACTCTCCTCGTGAGCCCTGGCACAATGAAGCAATTCTACTAATTGCATGATGATGCACCAGCTATGACATCAGATTCTTATCCATAAGGAAGAGCAGAACGACTTTTTCAACTCCTCCCTCACCTCCTTGGCTTCGTCGGTCGCCTCGTTGCGGTAGTCAGCGAACCCGAGATGCACCTGGATCATGGCGGCATCCCGCCCCTGCCCGGGAACCCCTGTCAGCATTTCCAAAGACGAAGCGGCGGAGTTGGCGGCGGTGACGTCAGCGCCAGCGTCCGCAACGTCACCGGACACGTCCTGCGGCGTGTCGCAGAAGGGGTGGGTGTAGATCACGCCCCTGACCGTGATGTTGTCCTGCGCGCAGTGGGCATTCAAACTTCAGAGTTTCTTCAAAGTGATCAGGAGAAAAGTACAGAGTCGGAGCAGATCTTGGTACGGATTGAACAGTGGTAGCATTGCAGGTATGCAAGTCCGCGCAACTTCTGCAACTTCCCTCTGATTGACTTTAGTCGGACACGAGAAGATCAACATTTATTCACCTCGCACAGGATGATGTTACAGTATCGAGTGACTTTGGCAGAGCAATTACTTTCATTGTCGAACAATTCGTAGCGAAACCATAAAAGACACGTTCTCTGCTGCGAGTCTTACGGAACGAACGCCGGTGCCTTCGCACGAAAAGCGCAAAGGAACGGCATGCCTCCGGTTAAAAAAAGGCAATCGACTTGCCCGGCTACGAAAGCTTTGCATTCACGGAAGGCACCAAGCATAGAACCAAAGCCACCAAAAAGGCTTCTTACCTGGACATTGGCTTCCCAGCGGTGCTGCCCGAGTTGTACCCCGCGCATTATTTGCGCTTCACCTGCTCCCCCACCTGCGCCCTCTGAACCTTCCGTCGTCTGCGCTGCGCTGCCCGGTGCCTCGTCTCCTGACCCCGCCGCCACTCTTCTTGCCAGCTTGGAGGGGCTCTCGACGAACAGACCGGCACTCTTCGCCGCGCCCGTTGACTTTGCGGCGACGTTCCGGCGGAGGTGCTTGCTGCCGCCGTCGCTGGTCTTTGTTCCAATGAAGGGGGGGCTCCCGGGCGCGCGCCACGTGGCAGTCTTGCCGCGACCCTCGGGGCTAGTTGGCGCTCTCCGAGGTGCCCGGTCCGTTGTGGTGTTGCCGGTGGGGTGGTGCACCGGTGAAGAGGGAAGGGCGCTGGGGACCTGCAAGAATAGAAGGCGATTAACTCAACAACATTACGGGGATTGAGAAAGATAGCATGCTGGAGGTTTGTGGCTTCGTCGAGGTGCTTGCACTCGGGTTTCCAGTTACAGCTGTGCCATCGTGGACAACAACTTTCTTGCTTCTTCTCGTGTTCCTTCAAGTTGAGCCTTGCGACAATGTTCGCTGGAGATTCCAAACCAGGATTTGAAAATTATTCGGCCTAAGGAACCGGCTTAACTTGCATGGGAATAACTTGCACGGTAAATCCGCGTATCACTGACAGACAACCTGAACGCTGCGACTGCATTCCTGACCTGCCAGACAAAGCGCACGCACAATGAACGAAACTGAATGCAGATCAAGAATCTCAATTGCGAGGAGGCTTTGTCTCGCTTACCTTCGCAGCCCGAATTCTGTCCACGTGGGAAGCCACGGAGCCCCGCTCCGACTGCTTAAGCGCCCGGTTTCTGATTGGGGACGTCACTTCTGCGGTTCCCGCCTGCTGAAGTGCACAATCCGCTTTCCCGGGAGACATGAACCCTGAGCTTCTCTGCGATGTAGAGCCGCGCCCAGGGCGGGGGATTGCGCTGGGGGATGCCGGCGATCCAATGCTGCTTCCGTTCATCCCGGACCTGCCCCTGCCCGTGATGGGAGAAACCGGGGCTGCCGCGCAACCGGTCTTGTGGGATTCGGAGGGTTTGCTGGAGGTCTTTGGCGGGGAGGCAGGGGACGAGAAGCTAGGGTGGACATTGGGGAAAGCGCTTGGCAGGCGCGGGATTCCGGACACGGCCTGCGAAAACAATAAGAGAGGACAGGTGTCAGCAAGGTGACAAGCTTTGCTTTTACTGCCCACTCAGTACGTACAGCTGGAATGTGCAGGTGCTGTAGTAGTGTTTTGTGATCTTGCTGAAGACACCATGTGAGTCATCGATCTGGACACCTGTCGCATTCGTGCAGCTGTTGCCTTTTCCCAAGTCTCGTGACTCTGGGATGATGCCAATCATGTCCTCTTGCTTGTTAAGAAGGATTCCACAGGAAGTCAGAGGTTTACGGCGCGCGGGAGTTGCCAGGACTTTTGGAGTACTGTACGCCTGCTCAAATCTCTGCACCCACTTGGATATGCCAGCTGGACGAGCACAACCTTCACGCTGAACTTTGAACGTTCTTGGAGTATGCACAACAACAGAAGCCGTTGCCTAATGCAGACTGGAGAGTCTGGGACAGAGCGTCTGAACCTCGAGCAAACCTGATGGATGATTTGGCATCCCCTCTTGTTTGCTCACTGGCTCAGGGAATGTGTTCAAAGATTGGCATCAAATCAGTACCTAGTTGAATACTAATGTTACAACCGCTTAGTGGCTTTCCTAGTAGCATCATCTGCTCTTGCAGGGGTGGCTGTCCTTGGCAGTTACTGCTAAAGGTGACAGCCATAAAGAGATTGATTGATCCTCTCCAGAAGCAGAAGCGCACAAGAATGAACTGGCAGAAAAGAGACCAACCTCCTCCGAATGAACCGGCGACACCTGAGACATTGAGGGCCCTCGCTGCGCCACCGTGTCATGGTGGCCCCTCTTCCCAAGCTGGCCCTTGGTCACGCCAGATGGCCCTTTTGCCTGTCAAAAAGGTAAAAGCTGATGCCACCGGACAAGCGACACGTGCTTCGATCCAGCTCGTCTTTCCAAGAAGCAACACGCGGAGAGTCTCCTATGGCAGGTGGAGACATGCAAATCCGTCTGTAAGTTGCAATCAAAGTGGCAATCCTAATTCTTTCATCAGGAACTTGCAGACACCTTTGCTTCTTCAGCAACTAAATTTTGATAAAGTAATAAAAGCCCTTGGCGAGCTAAGGTAATATCAAAGTACTGTAGTTGACAAACTCATACCAGCTGTCAACGAGATTGGCACGTCAAGGTGAGTTGCCGAGAAACACTACGCCCGCTGAATCAAGCTTCTGCATTGACAGGTGGACAATTGGCAAGACCTTCTGTTTCCAGAACCTACAAGGAATTCTACTGCATACAAACCCCAGACCTCTGCCGACGTAGAATATGTAAAGAGCTCCCTGTAGCCTCTGGTTGCTAACCGGCCTGCTTTTGAGACAATCTTTTGAGACAATTAAACCCAGAATGGCAAGGCCTAACACAAGAGGCCATCATCTCGGTCATCCTGGCAAGACCGAAGCAGTTTCTTGACACCTGGCATCAAAACGACTTCTGCACCAGTGCATGTGATATCTGGGAATGTTGCGTCGTGCCTCAAGGAAGACTTGTGGGGCTAACCTGCTTCCAAAATGGAAGACATCAACGTTGATCGAACCAGGCCCTAATTTCCAAGTTAAGCCTATCAAAACAAACTCACCATTGCACTGAGATTATTCCACAGCTGCCTCCCTGCAGCAGCCGCCTTCACGACAGCCATTCTCACATGCTTTGGATGCTTTGCCCCACGTCCCTCAGTGACCTTCCATTCAACCTCCTGGGAAAGAACTGACAATTTGAGTAGAATGGATAGGCCGTCAGACAAGGAGAAGTCCTGCACTGTCCAACATGACAAAGCAACAGGCCTCTGAGGGTGTTGTCAATTCCTGGCCATGACGATACATTCCTTTCGTGCAAGTGAAAGCCTGACCAAGCTTCATGCAAAGATATGAATCGCTAAGCTGGGAGACTACAGAAAGAGAAGGCATCATGTGTGGAGTTACAGTGCATTGAGAAGGAGCCTTGGAACACTGACAGCAGTCAACTGCAACCACATCAGAACGCTCACCTCATGCACGAGGGGACCTTCACAGTCCATGACACTAGTGGCACTTCTCACCCCGGCCCTCTGTCTGAACCCCACCTTGGAGTGTCTCAAAACAGGTCTAAAGGATGTGTTCCAATACAATGCTGAGGGGCTCGCAACCGCAAGAGGCAATCTCTGCTGTGAGAAATCGCGCTGGGCTTACATGAATGCCAAATCACCACACGCACAGAACAGTCCTGGGCTTGACGATGAGTTCCCTTTTCTTAACACTCTTCACAGTAAGTCAACATTGAATGGCGAGCTTTCGACTTGAAACTCCATCAGCAGAGGATTCACCATTTGCAGGTCAACTGCAAACCTGCAGTGCAAGGATCAGACTACTGCACGGATGATTGGACTAGAGATCCTCTGTGCTCACAATCTGGGGCAGCAGCATCTTCTGAGATGCCTCAGGCTCCTGCACGTAAGAGTCTCCTTTCCCAAGTGCTCCATTGGTTTGTCGCAAAATCTTCACGCCCCCATATAACGCAAGAAGCGGAGGTCTGCTCGGGCTGAGCTGCTGACTAGGCTGCTACGAACTGGCAACTAGGCACGCGATTTTAACATAGGCTATGAAAGCCGGGCCCACATGCGGATTACCGCTACGGTGAGTCCGGGACGGCAGACGGTCATTTAGACGGGGACCTTCCCGTCGGCCCAATACCATTTTAGCCGTTCGATGAAAGCATCAACGGTCCTTTGCAACGCTAATCTACGGTAGTTTGTCGCCTTTCTTAACGGCCTAGTGAGCTGTGCGGAACGTTTCCGTTGTCCAACTTGCGGATTTTGTTGCCAGAGTCGCATAGGCCCCGGCAATTTGAGGCAGCAGGGTTCATATGGATACATGTGCATTGTCATTCGCGCATAATGGGGCATTCGGGATCTAAGTCAGACGCTATGCGGAGGCTTCTGACGAGCTTCTTACCACCTCCCAATGCTGACAACTATGTTGCTGGCGATCATCATTGAGTCCGTGCATGTTCGAAAGTAGATTTCCTCGCAACGGGCTCGGTTGCAAACTTACTAGCAATGCATACATCACGCATTCTCTTCTTATACTCTATGCTGCATACTTTGTCAATTGGACAAATGATCGGAAACTGGGTTCAATACAAGGTTGTGGCCTACTCTGACAGACTTTTTGCAGTCCATAGTTCAAGTCGATTTGAACATACACAGGATTCGTGTTGTTATATTGCTGAACAGGGTGCTAGTACAAGAACCGTGACCGTCACTTTGGAGTGAAGTTAACTCAAGAAATCAGCGGAGTGAAACTCAAACGAGCTGAAGTGGATGGGCGGAGGGCAGGCTGGGACAGAACTGAGCCACACCATGGTGGCGGTGAGGGAGAGAGCTTGAGGCCTTCCATGGAGAGGGGCGCAGCCCCATTGGCAGCATCTCAGGCGGAAGCAGAGCACTGCACATGCTTAACTGGATGATCTTAACCGGTGTGTCAGGATGTCGGGACACATTGGATGCCTTCAACCGCCGAATTCAAGCGAGCAGTTAAGATCCGACGAGGCAGGGCAGACTGCATGTCTGGAACTATCCAATTTGAGAACACTACGAGCGGGCCCAGTTTGGCTTCTGCTTGTTCTTTTTCTTCTTGAACCATTTCTTCCCCCCGGACTCTTTTTCTTGCTGGATTTCACCGTACTTCCGTTTCCTGCATGGAGAACACGACGTACGATGAATATCAGCAACAGACGACACATCCAGACGTTAATGCAACCAGACGTTCCAACACAACCCTCAGTTTACTGGTGATACAGGCAAAGAAGACTTGCCCTGAGACAACTTTTTGAAAGGCCGTTGGGCTGTTCGTAATCAAGAGTCGACAGGATGCTTCACGACGAATTTGACAGCATACAGAACCAACACGGCTAATAGCACAAGGCTGTAACGCGATTGTAGTCGGGGTCGATGGAGCTACAGCAAATCACCGCCTGAAAAGCTTGTGTAAAAGCTTCTGTAAAAGCTTCTGAAAGAACTTCAACCTCAGAAGAAGGTCCCAGAGATGAGTGAGTACTGACCTGTAGCTTTTCAATTTGTCATCGGCAAGCAGCTCCGCAGTAAGTGATGGCTTGCGTTCCGACTTGGTCAAGCGCCCGGAGTAGAATTCTGTGGGGCCCTCAACAACAGTCCCTATCTGCAAACATTTACAGGACAGCATGAGAGGAGGCTCTTGGAAGGAAATCAAGCAATACATGAGTGCATCCAAACCCTAGAGTTATACAGCGACACGGTGGACATCGATCAACACTGGCCGCACCTTGCAATCATTCCAGAGAAGCTGGTCGTTGCCTCAAGTGGGCTTTCCCGTAGGAGCAGAACAAAGTGTGCTTTTAAAAGCATTCTGATGCAAAACCGGAAGGAATACTGGCCTCGTACCTGGAAGTACTTGGGGAACTTCGTGGAGTCCGGTGCCTTGTAGTGCCGCTTTGGATCGAGGACCCCTCGAAGCTGTAACGGTTATGAAGCCTTTGTGAGAAAACAACTCTCGTCCTCACAAATACATCTCCCCTCCTGCAGATTTCAGTTCGAGGGCGGCAGCTGCTCAGAGAAAGTGGCCATCTAATCAGGGCAGCTCTTGTACACACCTCTTGCATCAAATCTAAGATCCGACTTTGCGTATGGAGACAATAAGGCTGACACCAGCCGCAGTCCAAAGTACTAGCCGCCAAGGCAAATTTGATGGCATGTTGTCAACCCTCCGAAATCAAAGCTTTTTTACGAGATTGGGCTGCTGGTCAGTCTAACGAACCCTCTCAACACTTGCGGGGGTAACATACGGCTGCGCACCCAGTGCGTCATGTAAAATGGGGCGAAGATGCTGAACCGTTCAAGGGAAGAGAGTAGGCACAAGGGCCTCATCCTAAGCAGAGCTGCTTGATTCTCAATTCAATGTAGAACAGGGAAACTATGAGAACCTACCTTCAAGAGTCTGAAGTCTCTCTTCACTTCCGGTGTGATTGGAGTGGCAGGCAGGTCAAACCTGGCAAGCGACAAGGAAGCGCTGTCAGCAGTGATTATCCAGATTGTGACTGCTGTACTGAAACATAAGAGCGGGGCACACAAGGGGCCAACCTGTCCCCTATGAAATCCCGACAACTTTAACGATCAAGCACCATACAGCTTTCCGCCTAAAGGCCTGATGGGGGCCTGCTACAAAACTTTATTCGTTAGAAAGGAAACTGTCGCAGCTCGCTAGCAGCTCCCCGCACTTGAAAGAGAAGCTCATAGGCAAGCTCTCAAAACAGGCAGAGGACTTACCACTTTGGCCCAGCGGTTTGTGCCTTCGCTTTTTGTGCCTCCCTCCTCTCCTTCCGCGGGTTCCTAAGTGGCAGGGGCCCGTCTTTTTCTATAAGAGACGGTATTTTGAGCAGCTTTTTGTTGGATTCTAGCTGTCCGCTCTTGAGCCCGGTGCCTTCTGAAGAAGCTACCAGCCCCAGGTCAGGCATCCAGCTGAGCTGCTTCGACGCCAGGGCAGCCTCAAGGGCGGCTTCACTGTAGAAGGATGACACTCCAGATTTCAGAAACAGTACCCAGGTGCTTGCTATCTTTCGAGAGCGGACAGACCAACAACCTCGCCTGCAAAGGCCGTTGCGATGCTCACAACACAGAAATTTCCTCAATAAAGAGAAGGGGCGCAGGAGGCTGGGTGTTTTGGGCCTTCTAGCACTGAAAACAGCATAAGAATCTGAAAGTGAACGTTCACCTGCAAGTTGAAAAGCACTTCCTTAAACTTGCTTAGGAATTTCGGTCCGATTGAACCAGACAGACAGCCCTCGTTACTCAAACCACCTCAGAAGGCCAATTGTGTCAAACAGCCCAGCAGCCAAAGCATTGCGCCCTTTTATATCCCCCTACATCAACGCTCCATGATCCGGACCGAACCATTACCAAGTCTCTCTGTGCAACTGTCTGCATCACCACCGATGTGCACCAGATTTAAGGCCCATATTGTCCTCACTCTTCGTCCTTTGCAGAGATGAAGTTGGCCTCGCCCCCTTTTTGGCCAGCTGCACCCTCCAGTGTTTGCTTGGACCCAGTCTTCTGCACTTTCTTCCCTCTGTCTTTTGCTTTGAGCTGATTGATCATGGCACTTGCCATAAGGTCGAGAAGACTGTCCTCTTCTTCATCCCTCCCACTTGTGCTTGCCATGCTTTGCAAAACGACCAACACGAGGTGAAACTCTTTCACCACATGTGCCACAGAGTTGTTGACATAAAATGACAGCGTTGCGCCCAATTTTGGAACCTTTTCTGAAGCTTTGAAAGTCGCCAATGGCACTAGGTACAGCGTGAACCGTTCTGCCTTCCTCAGGTCCCTCAGACAGCTTCCAAGTTCGAAGGTATTGCCCTGCTCAGGCTGCGATACCAGCTTCCTGCTCCACGAAGCAAATGCATGTGGTGAGCTCTTGTAAGGTGTGACTCTGAGATATCAAGCTGTGGAAATTTGCACACGTGTATAATTGAAACAGTCGCTGTACTGCTCCACCCCGTTCCACGAACCGGCAGCACTGCACTGCTTGTATTAATGTAAGATGTATTGAGGCCCCAATTCCGGAATTTCGCAATTACGGACGGGTAAAGCAAAAACCGTATTCCGGACCTAAGAGAGCAGTCTACCGAGCACGCTGGGACTTTCACCAGTTACAGTTCTGGATGGTTCAAACGCTATTCCGAACACCGTGTGTCAACTTACCGACCGAATCCGCAATAAGGTTTTTGCTTCACCCGTCCGCAATTGCAAAATTCCGGAATTAGGGCCGATACGTCTTTAATATTCTATCACGGGAGAAGGGCCAACGTTTCTTTTCTCCGGTGCCGGCGCTTTGTGCCAGAGCGTATTCACATAAGGCCTAATACACGAATCTGAAGAACCCCCCTCAGGCCCTAGTTCAACCAGGCAGACAAACGTGCTAGATCAACCTCCACGTAGGCAGGGAATCGAGGTGGGGCGTCTTCCCTGCATGAGGAATTCGCATGCAGAAGAGACTCTTGGGCTAGTGCAGTCCTTTTGATCAGGCTGTTAGATAGCAAAAGTCCTCTGGTCGAGGCTGGTCGAGGCGCCAGAAAGATTCTTCTTCAGTGTAGCTGTAAGCATTGACCTTCAATGGGGGCGGTCAGCTTGCCAATCCATCTGCCGGCAGGCAACTGGACAGGACTGTCTCCTGCGCGCCAGGATCTTCTTCCCAGCAATCTGCAGCTCTCAGGCTCATTGGGGGTTCAGTCTGCTCGCATATGGAGCAAGAATGCAGTTCGCAAGCCCATGCGCTTCCATAAGCGCAGACAGATAGAAGCGGTGCAAGACATGCAGGTTACATCATCTCCAGCGTCCCCTCAAAATGTGACTGGGAAGGGAGAAAGCGCAGGGTGGGGGAACGGGCGTTTGTTGCCGACTATAGAGTCGACACGAACTCCACACAGTGGGTGGGTGGTCCAGGAGATTGTCATGCCTTACAAGTTACAAGAAATTGGTGGCAAGATTGAAGGCTAGAATGCCAGACACTACGAGCTGATTCACTTTCTTTTGCATGTACACTTGGGGTTCAGAAGCGCTTGGTCGTTTGAAGAGGATTGCATCAAACTTGCAAATATCAAGCTGCTTCTCTCAGCAGCAGATGCTGGGCCACCGTAAGGAAACGTGTTTGCAGTAGATCCAGTTGTGAGGAAGATAGACCTTGCTTCCTTCCTTCCTGTTGGTATTTCACGCTTCGCAACAACAGCCATGAGTACCTCGGAGGCCCTTCCATATATTTAAAACTCAGGATGACCATTAGACTTGTTTGCCATGTTTTCATCACAAAGCACTACTTGCCCTCAGGTATCACTTTGACGGCTCCAGCCGGCGCTTCTTTGAGGGCTGGTACTTCCGCGTCTCGATCCCCGAGGTGCGCCAGAGCTTTGCCTTCATGTACTCCATTGAGGACCCCGCCGGCCGGCCCGCCTCACTCCTTTCCCTCGGGGACAAGCACCGCTTCTCTGCGGCCGGGGCGCAGATCTTGGGGCCTGACGATGAGTATATTTGTCAGTACGAAACGGACGTGTCAAGGTTCTGGGCAAGTGAGTGGTTGTTTCCTGACGTATGTGCAATCGAGCCATTGAGGCACTAAACGCATCAGTCATTTGGTATCCTGAGGATCCGATCTTGGAAGCCAACATACTTCAAGTCTGTAGTTAAAGCTTTGAATGGCTGTAGAGTAAGAGCTCTGCATCGTTCTGTTTTGGTCCGAATTGTTCATTGATGTACATGCTTCCTGATGCATAATCGATTGCCCCGAACGAAAAGAGCTGTCGGCAGATACAAAGTACAGAAGCTACACGCACAATGTCAGGAAGGAGATTTCTGGCAACCGATAGAGCACTGCTCGCAGGCAAACGGGACCTTTCATTGGGCAACACTTTCAGAGCGACGCCAGCATATCAAGGCAGGGAGCCTCTGGACGGTCCTACTTCAACCGCGGTGAGTGAACTACGCGGCACAGCCGCTTTCTTGGATTCATACTGTCAGCATCTTAGCTACTTGTAAAAGGTTGCATGAATTCTTATAAGCGTTCAACCTCTCACAATCTGCCTCTAATCCCAGGCAATCAAACTGGTATGGGACAGTGATGCAAGCTAGTACTGGTTGAACTCTTAAACTGTGAAAGACCTCGTCCTCCATTTCTTCTTTCCCTTTGCATCATCAGGGCTGCATTGAGGCAATTGTTTTATGAGATTGAGTATATGAGATCGAGTCCGATTCGTGGATTCTCGACCCATGCAACATCATGAGGGCTGAACTGAGGCGATCATTGTTCCTTTGCTTGTACTGTGACTTTGAGACCGATTGGTGACGTTTCGACCCATGCAACATTCCAGTTGCAATCTCGAATGATGCTCGTCTGGTGGCAGCACACTTGATAAAGTCCCTGAAGCTCGTGCGCATCTCCACTTAGCCTCCGAAGCTAAAGCTGTCACTCTTCTTCATCCGATCAAATTATCTTTCCCAGGACTTCTCCGCCCGTGTCGCTGATGGCTTCCAGATCACCCCCACCTTCCACCAAGGTCACATACGCCACAACAACCAGCCCCCAAACGGCCTCGAAGAGTGGAGAATCGTTCCCGAAGTCAGCTGGGACTACCAGATTCGGCCAATCTACGGATGGGGGGACACGGGCGCCCCCCAGAAAGCCACAGCGGGATGGTTGGCCGCGCTTCCTGTGTTCGAGCCGCACTGGCAAGTGAACCTGGCGCACGGATTGGCGAGCGGGTGGTTGCAGTGGGGGGAGCGGCGGTTTGTGTTCCAGAACGCGCCGGCGTATGCCGAGAAGAACTGGGGCGGGGCGTTTCCGCTGAGGTGGTTCTGGGTGAGCGCCGAGCCCGGATTGGTCGTTTTGGATGGGTGGAATCTCACATCTGCTTCGATGGTCGAAAATTTGAAACGGAAGGAATCGAAGGTTTATTTTGCGAAGTGCGTCAGATCTGGTTGTCCGCTCGCTTTCGATCTGCGCCGTTTGTGAAGCTCGACCAGTCTTCCATTGACGGAAAGTCGATCGAAAGGTCGGACTTACCACTGTCATGCTGATCTGTCCCGTACTGTCCACTAGAGCAAAGCTGAGGTACACCAACAAATAACCGAATGACAACTTGTATCCTATGGAGCTAGCTGGAGCCACGACGCACACCTCAACAGCGCCTCCCCTCATGCGTCATCAAAGGCCTTGTTCCAACGCTCGCATCCAGTCCAAAGCGCTGCCTCATCGTGCATATGATTCGCCTCCTGTCGATTGCCATTTCGTTCGCCCAGCCCCACCGGAGCCAAGTTGTGCTCAACTTTCATCGCTTGCTCCTCTGGCAGGTCCAATGTAACGTGTTCAACGAAACAGACGACCTTGCAATCACTGCTGGGGGAGGGCGACGCGGCCTGCCGCTACTGCCTGACGTGTCCGAAGAAGTCGCCATGGTAAGCCGCCCGCTCGCCCTCAAACCTGTGACGAGCTTTTAGGTGACAAGTCCCGCTTGAATGATACGTAAGCCCACGAGGACTCCGCTTGTCATCTGACTTGAGAGATTGTTTGATGCTAAGTTGGCCCTTTTGCCATGACGGGCCACTCGTTGACACGAACGGTCGCGTCTCAGAGGCCGCTTCTTGATAATTATGAACGGCGAAAGTTTGAAACGGGGTCTTACCTCAACCGTCTCTCGCCAGTTGCTTAAGAAAGTCGCACAGGATTGATTCAGCAAACCCGAAATGATGTAAAATTTCTTGCTTTGATTGCTGCAGCTCGGCGTGCACCATCAGGGGCGGCATTACGAGTTCATTCCGTGGGTGGAGGACGGGTCCGTCTCGTGGGAAATTGAGCCCTGGGGGCGGTGGCACATGACCGGCAAGCGAGCGGACTATGAGGTACGGCCACGCTCCTTCTTCCCCCTTTTCCAGAGGGCACATTGAGGAACAACTTTAGTTTGAAAAATGAAAGAGATCTGTTGACTAGGAGGTCGTTGCGGGCCACAGTCAGGAAATTGGGACGACATGAAATGAGTTGAGATCCCCGTTGCGCTGTTGTGATCCCGTCAAACAAATAACTTTGTGGCCCTCTTTGAAGTGCAATGGACATGGTCTCCAGGACAACGATATTGCTGTAGTTTATGATGCGTTGCGCGTTCGAGTTTCGTTCTTGAAACTTTCTGCCGAAAACTGCCACGATGGAAGCCAATAGAGTTCGGGTCTGTTATGCAATATGTGGTTCGAGTTCTGGTGCTTTTTGATCTCCCTTCCTATGGTCTCACCTGGCTCAGCTTTGTATCTCACCATAAAGGATGCTTATCAAAGCTGGAAAGTGCGTCCGTACCGTTCGCCTCGTGGATCGCGTAGCTTTGAGTTGGTCTCGACAGAAGGCTTCCTTTAGGCATCGGGTGGGCTGTCGACCGCGTTCAAGGCAAACACTATTCTGCAGTGAATCTCAGCCCAAACAAGGGTTGTCCTGGCATTTTCAAAAGCTTGTAGTTTGATTATTGCTTGGGATTTCTCGAGGGTTTTCTCGAGGGTCGGGTGTGTTTCTGGGGCTCGCACAGAATCGACCTGTGGAGACTGCAGCAAATCTTGCCGCCTTTTGCCACTCAGGCGCTGCCAAACCCTCTCGCTTGAGCGTTCGGACAAGTTCACTTCTGTTTTTTAATCCGTTGTCATTTTTATGCAGAAAGACTCTATTCAAAAAGGTTGCTGTCATTGAAACCAATTCCGAAGGAGAACATACAGTTCATTGCGATCCACCCTCCTCGCAAAACTGCGTCTAGTTGATTCTCCTCGCAAAATTGCGTCGTGTTGACCTGAATGTCTCCTTCGAGCACATTCGTGTCCTATTTCTGCGTGATCACGACGATTGTCCTGTATCCACCAGATTGAGATCCTGGCGACCACGAGTGAGGCGGGCTGCGTGTTGAGGGCGCCCACGGTCGACAAGGGGCTGGCACCTTTCTGTCGAGACACGTTCTTTGGGCAACTGGAGTTGACAATATGGGAGCGCAAGGGAAAGATGCGCGGCAAGGTGAGATCCGCACCCTGATGCGGGCGAAACGGCCATTCAGACCCATTCGAAACTTTACTTTCCTCTCTCTCGCGCCTGATCAGAACTGCATTTCGAAACACGGTAGAAGAATCAGTCCGGGCATTGGTCGTTCTATTGAACCGTTGAGCTTCACCTCCCAACCGAGCGACGGTTGGGAGAACACTGGACTTGCCACCCGTGCTTGCACCTTTGCTCAGCTCGTTGAAGAAGGTGTTGAGACTGTTGCAGAGTCGTCCTAATAACATAGTTATGTTCCCCTCATCCAGTGTGCACCCTAGCAGCATGACAAGCTTGTAAAGCTTCGGCAGCGATTACATGCTTTATGGCTTCATGTCTTTGAGCCGTTTCCGGACCCCCTTCGTTGTTTTACGGCTAAATGCTGCTCTTTAAATACTCTGCTTACCGAGCACTCACTCAAAGAGACTTCTGACCTGGCGGGGTCGCTAGCGGATGATATCAATGGGTCCCATGCGCCGGTTCTGTTGTCGCATGACCAGTACTCGCTTCCTTCTCCGCAGGTTATTGTGCACGCCACGAGTAGCATGTGCGCTCTTGAAGTTGGGGGCGGACCGTGGTGGCAAACATGGAAAAAGACGGCCCGGTACGAGGAGCCGGTGAGGTCACTTATGGACCTTCCGCTAGGGAACGTTTTACAAGCGATACCACCGAATCTGCAGCCTCCGGGCCTCTAGAGTCCACAGACGTTCTAGGAATCAGGTTTGTAAAGCAGTGATGTTGTCAATTTTGCGGTTTGTATAGTTCCACACGTTGAGTTGTACAGCATGCGAGGGCTGGGCAATGTTGTTGCGTAGACGGAGGAGTATCTTTCCGGAGGAAGTTTTTCTGTATATTTGAGAAAGTCATACAGATGAGTTTCAGGAAGCTGGCCGCAAGCACGTACTTCGTCTTGCACCGAGTTTCTTGGGCTACTCGGTTGCCGGTGTACCTTGACCAATAGTTGTTTATTAAAAGGTGGTAAGAACTGTCTGAAGGCCGGATCAAGCACGCTGGTGGAGCCGTATATATTACTTGACCAATTTCGAGTTTTCGACCCACTTTTACAAGTCATGCATGCTCGCGCTGTTTTGGCGCATGAGGTTACAAGGACGTCCATGATTCATCTGCAATTGCATGTCTGTGATGAACTTCGTGCGCTGATCTAACCAGGCAATGAGCTTCCATAGACGCTTTCAGGTTGCGGATGGCAGATCCAGCACGTTTGCACTCCTGCAAAGCGGCAAAGTACACGTACCGCAGCATGCCATTAAAGGTAACAATTGGACAAAAACGAAAATGGAGCATGCAGGTTCCACACCAATCAATTTACTCCTTGGATTCCACTGTGCAACTGAAGATCGGGGTGCATTTTAAGATATACAGTTGACCTCGTATTTGAAGATTCTATGAATTTCCTGGAGCTACAAGCAGCCTCCACACTGCATAGTCGACTGCCACGCGGAGCGCGCGAGCATCAGTCAACTCGACATGCCAAGCACTTGGATTTTACCATATTCACCTTTTGAGATGCAGCCGCGTGGCCTTATCGACGGTATGTAGGAAGGCGTGCAGCGTCTGGTATACCGTATACGAGTACTGAAGGCGTGCCGGGGGCTCTTGAGCCCGGATCTGTATCTATTGACACTGAATGTACAATCGGTCACCAGACTGTCGAACATGGTGCAAACGGCCCACGGTGCAAACGTGCACGCTCATGACTCGTGACTGCTTCAATGACACCAATTGCAACATCCGGTGCGAGCTCGGCATCCAGGCTTCCAGACGTGCAAATGTGCACCGAATGTTGCTTCTAGTGTCACTTTTCATCAATACGCTGCTCTGCTGTGATATTGACACAGAAAATAAAATCGGTGCGACCACTCACAGTCCTGCCCGCGAGTACAGCGTTATCACTACCAAAAACCGGGAGGAAGTGCCAACCAATTCAGGCTGCGGCTCGGCGCGGAGCCTTGACACCACATTACAGTCTGCCTCGGTCCTTATTATTAACACCAACTCAGCTGCAATGTTAACGCGGAGTCTGAAACCTCGGTTGGCGTTAAGCTTACGTCACTCGCCCAATCAGATCGCCGGGATGGGTCCTGAAGACTCTGTAAGAGCCCCCTAACGAACTTCTCACCAGTGACCGCTGTGCACACTGCACAATGCACACTTGAGTCTTGAACAATGAACTCCTGGCCGCGCCAATTTCGTGAAGGTGAACCAAGAAGCTCGCTAGTGGGTGGATGGTCTGGTTTGACTGGAAGCATTCTGATCTGGGAAGATGGCGCCCGCTTTATTTGAATGTCGTGCTTGTGGCGTCCCCTTCGTGCATTTGGTGAAAGAGGCGGTCGCTTGTTCTTTCCCCCGGCCTGTTAGGGAAGGTTTTCCATTGTTGAACCAAGTTCTGGGTGTTTATTAGGTTGGCGCAGGGGTCGGCGCACCGTGATTCTATTCGCAAAGAGGAGGGTTTTGCGGGGCAGCCAAGAAGCATGTCGAATCAGCGGATGACTAGAAACTGGGGAGCTTCACTTCCCCAGCAACCTCTGCAACCCGGTAGAGGGACAGGCTCAACTTCGGACTTGGTTCAATCATCTGGAAAACAAACCCCTGTTGTCCCAAAAGTCCAGCATGATCTTGTGGCACATCTGCAGCGGGCATTCCCAATCCTAGAACCTTCTATAGTTCAGTTAATTGTTGACGAATCGGGTGAGGGGGGCATAAGCGATGCGGTGAAAACCCTCAGCAGCCTTGCGGCAGATGCGGAAACGGAGGCTGCAAGCAGCAGGTTGGTTTTCAGGCGATCTCTTGTCTGGGTGCTTAGGCTGCATTGGTTAAGGTGTCAGATGCAGCGGCCCATATTGATGCACTTCTTGTTTGTGTCCAGTAGGGTGGGAGTCGATGCATAGGTTTCAGATGGACTTTGTCTTTGCCGCAGTTTAGAGCTGACAAGTGGCCAGCATTGCTGACCCTTAGAAAGATGTTTCTTGCAATATTGCTTGGGCCACAGTGGTAAAGGCAATAGCAACGTATGATTGATGGCTGTCTGACCCTGGGTTGCAAGTTTCCGCAGTTCTCCCCAAGGATCCATACATCCGATGGCGAAGCAGTTGGGGAGTCCGTCTAGCAACTGTGTGGATGACAACGTTGCTATGGACATGGCAATTGCTGCATCTTTGGCGGATCAGAAGGTGCAGCGTTCAGTCAGCAACGAAAGGTTGCAGGTAGAGACCGCGGACAGTGGATGCTGGGATGCTGAGAGTGGGTGGGAGACTATCGATCCAGCAGTCGCAGCTGAGTGGGGGGCCCCTCCCCCCCTTGTTCAGAGCAACACGATTAGCACTGGTTCTGGACTGGGTTTCTGGGACGACATACCAGTCCAATCGACTGCACCTGTTCCTAGAGGGACCGAGATGCCTCCAGCTCAGTCAGAGGGATCTTTGGTTGCTAGTTGGGGTACAGATTGGACACCGCCTGAGACTGCCTCCCGTGAAGACTCCCCAAAGGCGTTGAATGAGCAAGAAGCAGCGAAGGAGCCAGGTGCGCAAGCAATGGCAGCAATTCTCGGCGAAAATTGGGCCAAAGAGCCCCTGTGGAACTCATCCGCGGGGTATGGTGACTTGACAGTTGAGAATAGGGATCCAGCACTGGGGCGGTCAACATTGCAGGCTGTCAAAGGCAAGACAACACTGAGACCTTATGCCCCGAGAATCGCAATAGGGGCAGGTAAAGAAGAAGGCAAGAGGCCTTACAGTCCAAAGGTCCTTATTGATAGAATAGTTTTGGAGACGAACGCAGTAGCAACTCATGACCCACCCAAGGAGTCGCTTAGCAAATCGACAGAGACGTTTGAAACAATCAGAAGTGATCTTCCAGAGGATGGTGAGGCAGAAGTTCTCAGGCAGCTGAAAGCCATGTTTCCAGACGTTGCAGACAGTGTCATCTGCAAAGCATACATAGATTCAGAGTCAGATGCCAACAAAGCTGCAGAAGCCCTCTGTCAAACAAAGGAAGCTACGTTGAATACGATAGAAGGCACAGCAGCATTAAAAGATTGCTCAACTTTCGCTCCTATCTCCTGGGAAGGCAAGCCACCTTCTTCAGGCAAGCCAGAAAAGTCTTTAGACTCTTTCCAGGATAATCTGCTGCATGATAAGGGTGCAAATCCTGATCCTGGTCCGAAACACAACCTAGTCCCCTCGCGCCAACATCCCAACCCGTTCACAGAGGATGATTCCGATTCAGAGCACCCGACAGCCTCTCGAGGTCAGCTAGTCTCACCTATGACCGCCACCAGCAGCTCTCGTGGCACGTCACCTCTCAGTAGTTCGGTGACAAGTCCTGCCACCAGCCCCAGATCCCGGAAGAAGGGCAAGAAAGATGTTAGGCGGGTGACAGGGACGACAAGCAGCAGCAGCAGCAGCGATGATGAGGCAAAGAATACCAGGAGGGACATGGTGGACTTCATGGTGTCAATGCTGGGGGGAAGTGTGCCTGTGGCCGTGGTGGCAGACGTCATAGGTGAGTGCGAACAGAATTTTCATTCGGTACTCACTGGAGGTTGGTCAAAGTGGTTGTTTTGCAGTGCACTGTTATCAGTGGCAAGCTAGTGATGTTGCTCGACACTGCTAAGTTGGAAAGAGCTTATAGTCAGCGGAAAAGCGGAGGTTGGTGATTGCTGTTGCATTGAGCGCGGCTTGGTGCTGAGGTATCAGAAACTTAGGACGAGATATGTCTGAAAGCAGGTAAAGCTGCTGTCTCAGCAGCGCGAAGCTTTGCAACTGTTGATGTCCAGTCATTGTGGACTTGCGTAATAGTAGCCCGAACCAAAGCAAATTCGATGTTGAGTATGCAGTTCGTCTGCTATTTAGCAGGCCACATCTGGTGTTATCTTCTGCGATGAATTATGAGGTTCCTCTATATCCTTTGCTGCAGAAAACCTGAAAGGGGACTTTCAGCAAAGTATGAAGTGTCTACTCAGCATGTCTGCTGGATCTGAGGGGGGCCTGATCGGGGAGGAGTTTGGCGCGATGGTGGACGGTTCAGATGGGGCTGGGGATCTTTCTGAGAGTCCAAGTAGGCCCAGCTCAGATGGCGAAGAGGAGGATCCAGGGACAACTCTTTTGAACATTTTCGGAGCTGACAAGAAAGAAACGATTCATCAAGTTCTGAAGGTATGTTCGCTAAGTTAGTGTGATTGGGTCGTCGTTTTCGCAAGGAATGTCTCAGTTGTTGCGGGATGCTTTTGTGATGTTTGCAGTCGAAAGCTTTCATTAGTAGCCAAAATTGTGTTGTCAGTCGCAGTTGCCTGTGATGGATTATGCCAACTTTTTCCACGCTTCTGATGTTGCAGGATGTCGACACTACGTTGACCATGCAGACAACGTCCAGCCAAAAGTGAAAGCTGCTTTGTGGGGACTTTATCCGCAGGACTTCTTACTCTGCAACACTACTACTGGAAGTTGCGAGGGTGCTTCGTTTCTTGGGCCCAACTGCGCTCCCATGATGACAACTCTCCCCCGAATTGGATTGTCTGTTTTTCTTGCAGGAGAAAGGCGGGAACGTTGGAGATGCGGCGACGGTCCTGATGGCCATGTTCGAGTCCGAGACGGGAGCAAGCAGTGGAGATGACCTTGCAAGATTGCAGCTTGTGGAGGATGAACCCGTCGTAGAAGAGGATGATTCGGAAGATCCTACTAAAGTGAGAACAAATGTCGTCGAGTTCACAGTGAATGATTACTCAGCATCGCCTCAGCTTGAGTTGGGCAAGTGTCTTTCCCAATTGTCTTCGTCCTCAGGGCTCGTTCTTGTTTGTCCCACCGTGTGGAAGAAGTCTGTGCTCAGGTCGCAAGTTGGTTCATGCTGAATTTTGGTGGTTGATTGCCTCCTCAGGTCACGGTTGACAGTCTTAAGGGCAATGCACAAAGCGGAATAATCTGTGTTTGAAGCTTTCTTGTGGTGCAATTAAAGGTGTAGGGCGGAGCTGAGCTGAGCTTGAACCACCTGCGGTTTGAGCAGAGGGTTTTGCAGTCTGCGGTTTTCGGGAAGAGGGTTCCGAGAACCGCCTGGATGACTCGACCATGGTTCTTCCATGCAGATCAACGTGGAGCAGCTGATGGCCCACTTTCCCCTTGCGGACAAAAGTGCAGTACGGTCGCTTCTTCGCATCAACAACAACTCTTTTGAGTGAGTCCTACCTCACAAAACCCGGTGTCTCGCACCTTAGCCTTTTGCAGAGAGCCACTACATGATGCATTCAGTTCGTAGCTAGCCTGGATTCCTCAACCCTTGTGAAAGACCGCTCAATGAAAACTACTTGTGTTGCTGCAAACACGTTTCGCAGGTTATGGATTCTTGCATTCTCCAGCAAGCTCCCTGTAAGTTTCCACCCGATAGCATGCCGACTTTCATTGCCTGATTTAACTCATCATCGCCGGCCATTTCTCACAGGGACACTGCCAAGATGCTGTACGACAGTGGCCTCATGCCCCGGGGCCTGGACGTCGCCTCCCTTTCCGACCACCAAGCGGCCCAGCCAACGTACGCGGAGCGTAGCGAGCGCAGCCACTTTAGCCAACACCAACCTTTCCAAATCGGCTCTCTAGTTGCTGGTACGCGAGCTCGGCCGGTGACGCCTCCTTACGGCAGCGGCACCAAACCGCCTGGGGGGTACTACGAAGAACCTAGCTTCCACCAGCCGCGGGCCCACCTTCAACCCTTGTTCAGATCTGAAGAGTTTCCGGAGATTGGCAGGGAGATGCCTGTTTTCAGCGAAGCCCCGGACGACAGAGCACCTGTCCAAGAGAGTGAGTGTTGGCCCGTGTCCTGTAGTTCTTCACCCGTCTGCAGAGAGTCGATGAGATCCCCAAAGTGTTTTCTCTTCAGAATTTCTACGAAAGTTGGTTTGAGTCCGCTTGCTGTGAACAAGCATAGGTTGGACGTTTGGGTGCGCCGCAAGAGTTCTTTGCTATTGAGAGTAGAGTGCCTTCCTCGACTCGGTTGTAGTGAGTGTGCTCCTGTCTAAGCCGCCTTCCTCCCTCCTTTTTGCAGGCCACAACTCCCTCTTCCTCAAAAACCGTTCTGCCACCAACAAGCACTGGAGGGCCTGTCAGTACTATTTCGCTGAGGTGAGTGTCGCCTGGCCTGTGCAAACGCTGAGCTACGAACAGAGCTTTACAACTTTCCTCCCCGTCTGCTCATCAAGTACGGCGCGATTGCGCCAAGGTACTGGGAACATGTGGCGCTGCGCTGTCAGCTTTTGGGCTTCACGTGGTCCTTCTGGCGAAACGTAAATGCGAGTACGCGTTCAAGAGCGTCATTGCCCCAAGGTGGTCACCTGCACATCCTCGAATCCCATTTTCGGGGCCTTGAAAAGGGCGTGCAGGTTGACGGAGTCGTGCGTTGTGACTTGTGCAGGCTGCCAGGGCCAGGGCCAACCGGGAGTTTAGTCGCGCTGAGGCCCTCAAAGAACAGGTGCGTGACTGGTTATGCGGATCCTCGATCGCCTGGACGTCTCCAAACAACGGTCTTTTTTCTCGTTTCGATCGAGCTGATCCGCATGGAATCAAGCATTCTGGATGATCGGGTCGGCTATGCTGCGTTGGCTTTGCCTTATACGTTCACGTATCTTGCCGACCTTCCAACAGTAGCACACTTAGCGGAAGGCCGTCAGGTTGATTCTTAATCGCGTTACAGCCGTCTATCTGGGTTGTTCTGGCAAACTTGAGGCATTGCTCCTTCTGGGTGTGCCTCGGACTATCGTGATGGTTTTTTAGTGTTTCAGATCTTTTTGGACTTGCTCGCTGTCCTTCGGATTCGCGGTTTGCCTGGTTCATTGTTCCCGGAGCTCTCGCATGTGCTAGTTTCAAGCTTGACGAGGTCGGAAATCTTGTGCAGGGCCGGAAGCACAAGCGGCTGGCTGAGGCTGCCAACCAGGTGGCCAGTAGCAAAATCTTCTCCGAAAAGTGAGTATCAAGACCACTTTAGGCGCCTCGCTTGTCGTTTGCAGCATGGGTATCCCCCTGGGTTGTACTGATGAAGGTACAAGGCTGTTGTGAGGCAGCCACCCTTCTCCTGCATTATTTGCTCCGTACAAACTATCCTCGTACTTTTCAGAAGCCCGATGTTGTTCTGAGCCGGTCATACCTTCGTGCAGCCGGAGACAAGCTTGTGACGGAACTTTGCTGACCGAGTGTGTTGGCCTGCAGGAACAAGACCATCCGGAACTCGGTCAAGATCGACGTGCACGGGCAGCTGGTGCAGGAAGCGCTTGGGCATGTTGACGACCACCTCAAAAGCCTTTCAAACCTCACAAGTACGTGCTTGATTTCTCTCACGGTCTAACCTCGTTACTATGTGCAGATTTGAACGTTTTCGGATTTCGCTTGAAGCTGTTTGGTTCGTTCAATTGGTCGCCTGGAAGAGATTTCGTTCTTTGTACCCTAGACTGGCGAACATTGCAGCAAGGCAGCAGATCAGACGCTTTGCTTTAGGGATTGACTGTCGCTGAACCCATTAGCCCTGTACACGACTTTGAATCCTCTCGGAGCTTGAGATCTATCTAGTTTGATAGCTTTTGTGGGCGTCTTTCTGCAGCCATTTCGTATCTGAGCATCATCACTGGGAGGGGCCTGCACAGCGAGAACGGCAAGGCGAAGATTCTGCCAGCCGTACAGAAGTACTTGCGGGAGAGGGGCTACACGTTCTATCAGGAGAACCCCGGGTGCATAGTGGTGGACTTGAAAGCTGAACGGCAAGTACCGAACAGTCTTTCAAGTGCAGAAGACGCGGATAGTCGACCTTCTAGTGCTGAAAGCTACGAGGAAAGGCCAGGTCGCCTCGAAGGAGCGGGTAACGGGCAGGCTTCTTACAGGAAGTTGAACCTGGCTTGAGTTCGCACTCTTTCTGCGACCAAGGTATTGAGTTCCTAGGTACGAATAGATAGCACGAGGTTCTATTTCATTGTAATTAGAGCAGTTGATGGCACAGGTGCTCCATGGCGGTTCGGTTCATCGATGGTGCGCAACTCTTTGGTACAAGGCTCGCTCGTGTTTTGAATCGGTTGTCAATTGCTCTCAGTGATTGCGCAAGCCCATGCGCTTCATGGATTGGTTCACGTGCTAGCAGAAGCTTGTATACCAGGATTGTCGTTGCTTATGTGAATGTGATGGAATTTCAGCCAACGTCTCGTGTATTTGAGGAAGGTTATTAAGTAGCCGCCAACGTCCCCGGCCTACCCATCACTCAGCGGAGGTTAACGTGATTGCATGCCCAATTACCATCGGTGACATCGGACAGCCGCCAAAGATGAAAGCTCATAAATGCCATCGATAAATAATTTTATTGCAGTGGGCCCATTAATTGAGGTCAGTGACCATCGACTTAAATGTTTAGTTGTGAGCCATATCCTTCAGGTCTAGTCTGGCATGCTGCATGCTTTCGAATCGCGGATGGCGGTGACCTTATCGCATGCAGCATATTGCAAGCCGTTTCTTGGAGTATAGGAAATCTAAGCCATATATATGTCATGGAACAAGTTCGATTGGCCATTGTGTAGGAATCGTAATTGAGAAATCTTTCGTTTAGAATAGAATTTTGCAAAGAGAACATCAAACCGCGCATGCATATCGCCAGGCGGCCCTCAGACTCGCTAGTGCTCGGTTCTGTAATCTCAGGCTAATTTCACAAGGAAATTGGAGACTTATACACTAGTAGGGAGCTTAGCGGGAAGAGCGGAGCTCGAGAGTTGAGAAACTTGCTAGAGATTGGATGCCTCAAACTTGGAAACCAGGAATGAGGTCTTACACGGTGGAGAAGTCCACCTTTATAGTTGAGCGCAGCAAAGCTGCAGCTTCAGTCACAAGATGCAAGATAACATAACAAGCAAGACTAGCAAGCGTAGATAAGCAGACTTAACGGTCAAAAGCAGCAAGTGACCGTTAAGCAATGGCGACACAGCAAGCATCGAACGGTGCAGAAGTGCCACGTCAACCCTATAAGGGTCGTGGCGACAGAATATACAATAAGATGATGCCACGTGCTACAGCTAGTCCCCCCCCTAAATCGCAGCAACGTCCTCGTTGTTGCCAGAGGGGGCAGCCTGAACCAAGGTCGAGTCAACCCACCGTGCTTCATGGAAGGGTTGATCGCGGAACGTAACCAGGTACTGGGTCCGGGTGGAGTTTCGTCGAGTAACCGCCCGGGTGTCGATGACCCGGTCGATTGTGAAGGCAGGGTCCCTATCAGAGATAAGGGCAGGTGGAGGCGGGGCTTCCCGCCCGGGGAAGCGGAGGTCGTCATTGGGCGTGAACGGTTTGAGCAGGGATACGTGGAAAACCGGATGTACGCGCATGTGCTCGGGGAGGTCCAACTTGTACGCAACGTCGTTGACCGCCTGCAAAATGGTGAATGGCCCCGTGTACTTGGGGCCGAGTTTGCGTACTTGCGTACGGCCTGAGAGGGTTAGGTGGGCGGTCGAAAGGTACACTTGGTCCCCCGGCTGAAGTATAAGCGGCCGTCGCTTACGGTCCGCATATTGCTTCTGCCGGTTTTGGGCGACTGCAATAAGGGCTTTGGCGTCAGTGAGAGCAGTGGCGACGTTCGCCAATAAATGGTCGGCGGCCGGGATATCGGAGGGTGGAGGTTTGTAAAGGGTGCTCGGGGTAAGGGGGTGGCGTTCGGAGTTGAGGTAGAATGGTGAGTGACCGGTGGAAGCTTGGATGGAGTTGTTGATGGCGAATTCAACCGGGGTGAGGAGGGTGTCTCAGTCGGTGTGACGGGCTGAGACGTAGGCACGGAGGACTTCTTCGATGACCCGGTTGATACGCTCGGTTTGGCCATCGGTCTGTGGATGGAAGGCGGTGGAAAACGAGAGTTTAGTACCGAGTAGTTTGAAGAGGGTGCGTCAGAAGTTCGAGGTAAACCTCGGGTCTCTGTCGCTCACAATGACCCGGGATAAACCCTTGTGCCGGAACACAGTGTCGAAGTATACCCGAGCAACAGAGGGTGCAGTGGTGTCAGAAGTCAGTGGAGCAATCAAGACCTGTTTAGTTAGTCGATCGATGAACACAGCAATTGCGGTATGACCGCGAGGTGTTTTGGGAAGTTCGACGACTAAGTCCATCGAAATGTGTTCCCAAGGGGCGGTAGGAATGGGCAGGGGGCGAAGCGGTCCGGCTGGTACACGGTTGGATGGTTTGTTGCGTTGACACTTGTCGCAGCTTTGGACGTACTGCCGGATATCTTGCTGCATGTCCGGCCAGAAAAAGGAACGTGTGGTTAGTTCCTCAGACTTGTCCATTCCGAAATGTCCGGAAACCGTACAATCGTGATTCGTGTCAAGTACAAGAGACCGCAGCGCAGGTACAGGAGGGATGTACAGACGATCGGAGCAGTACAAGAGACCGTCGGTTAGGGAAAACTGTGCATAGGCGGTATCGGCCAGTGTTAACCGGCCAATGACCATCCGTGCGTACGGGTCGGTCAAGTTGGCGGTGCGCACAGCCGCCAAGAAGTCGGGGTCGGGCCCGATGCTTGACACTGCAGCTAGCGTAGGTTGGTCAGCAGGTGGTGGGGATTTGTGGTCTGGTCTGCATGAGAGAGCGTCAGGAACAGTGTTAAGTCGCCCCTCACGGTAGGTGAGGGTAAGATTAAACTGGTTCAATTGTTCCTCCCACCGGTGGTGGCGGGACTTCATGAACTCCAGCCTGAGAGGGAAGAGGAGTGGGCGGTGGTCAGTACGGACGGTGACCGGTTGGCCAAGGAGATAATGACGCCACTTGTGCGTCGCATGCACGACTGCGAGTTGCTCGCGGTCGCGCGCAGAGTAGTTGCGTTCCGCCCGGTTGAGCCGCTTGCTCTCGAACGCGACCGGTAGAAGGTCGCGGTTTGTACCGGAGGTCTGCAAAAGAACCGCTCCAATCGCGAAATCAGAGGCGTCGAGATCGACCGTACAGGGCAGAGCAGGGTCAAATGGCCGTAGGATGGGTGCGTGAGTAGTGCAAATTTGAGGGACTGGAATGCGTGCTCGCATTTATCAGTCCACTCGAATTTGCACCCCTTTTGCAAAAGGTCTGTGAGTGGAGTAGCAAGGTGGGCAAACCTACGAATAAATCGCCGATAAAACCCAGCAAGACCAAGAAACGACCGAATATCGCCAGGGTCAGCAGGCCGGGGCCACTGTGAAATGGCCTCGACCTTGCACGACTCCATGGAAACGCCGTGCTCATTTATGACGTGACCGAGGAATGTTACCTCGGTTCGCCACAATTCACACTTTGACTCCTTGGCGTACAGCTTGTGGGCGCGGAGGCGTGTGAACACCTCCCGAAGAAGCCTCTCGTGCTCGTCTGCAGAATTAGAGTATATTAGAATATCGTCCAAGAAAATGACCACGCCCTTATCCAGCAGATCCGCGAAGATTTTGTGCATTAAGTCCATGAAAGCTGTCGGGGCATTGGTCAGACCAAAGGGAAGAACAAGCTACTCAAAGTGACCGTACCGGGTGCGGAGAGCAGTTTTTGTGACGTCCTCTGCACTGATCGGAATTTGCCAATATCCAGAGCGCAAGTCGATTTTAGAGAAAATATTTGCGCCATGCAACTGGTCAATAAGATCGTCAGCACGCGGCAGGGGATACGCATTTTTAACCGTCCGCTTATTGAGTCCCCGGTAGTCAATGCAGAATCGGAGGCCTCCGTCCTTCTTCGGGGCGAAGAGGACCGGGGCGCCCCACGGGGACGAGCTGGGGCGAATGAACCCCTTGGCGAGCAAGTCGTCGAGGGTGCGACGAAGCTCATCCAGCTCGGTTGGGGACAGCCGGTAGATGGGGCGATTGACCGGGGTGGTGCCCGGCAGGGTTTCGATGTGGAAAGGCATGCCCCGGTCGGGCGGAAGGTGTGCCGGGAGGTCCTGAGGGAAAACATCAGCGAATCAGCTCGTAATTTCTCGCAGCGTTCAGACTCAGCCGCCAGGTTATGGGCCATGTCAGGGGTAACGTTGGGGAAGACCTGGAACACCGGTTGCTTTTTCTTTATAATTTTCTTCATTTGGACCGAGTTAAGCAGCCGGTCGCCATACTCCTGCTTTAAAGCCCGTTTCGACGGCCTTCCGGCCTCCAGCGTTACAGGGCAAGCATTATGGACAAAGGAGATATGGCGCTTTTTCCAGTCGACTTTCTAATTCCCCGACTCAAGCCAAGGCAAACCCAAAATGACGTCGTATGTTATGTCTGCGACTGTGAAATGCAAGCCCTCTGAGTACTCGGAACCGACAGAAAATGGTACAGCATTGACAGTACGTTGTACCGGTCGGTACGAACCGTCGGCCAAACGCACGCCGGAACCGTCAGACACGTCAGCAGTTTCAATCCCTACTACACGAGCGGCAAATGACGCAGACATGCAATTATCAGATGACCCACAATCTAGCAACACCCTACATGACTGACCGGAAACAGTGCCACGCAGGTAAATCAAGCGCGAAGATTTCGGGGCATTAAAGTCCCCCGGTTTAGGACGACCCCTGGGAGAAGAAGACTTATCTTCTTCAGGCTCGCCGCCAGTAGATGTCCCAGGGCCGTCTACTGGGGCAGAGAGTTTTCCGAGCACCTAGGCTCCTCGTGCCCGAAGTCGATGAGGTCGGGGTGCTCGGTAGGATCAGCTGCCAGTCGCTCGACTTGGGCGACCGTTCTCTGCACAGGGGGTTTATTGGGACACTCGGCGATCAAGTGCCCCGGTTGCCTGCAGTAGAAGCACCCGCCAACCTTGACCAAGCGCGCTCGCTCGGTTTGGTTTAGTGGTGCCCTGGATTTGCGCCGAAGCGCGTCGATCTCCATAGGGACGGGGCCCGTCCCACTAGGGTTAGCTGACCTGATGGGCGCGGGGTTAGAGAAGCTGAGAGGGGTTTGGGCCCTGGAGGTCCGCACCCCATTAGATGCAAATGTAGGTCGTGCAAAACCAGACTGTAACCCAGCAGAGCCCCACAACGAGTCATAGCGGTGAGCAAGCTTAACCGCTTCCTCGAAGGTTTCGGGCTCACGCATGATAACTTCCTGGCGTGTGCGGGGTTTGAGGCCGCGGATGAACCGGTCCAGGAGCTCCTCGTCCTGGATACCGGGTACCTGCAGTGATAACTCTTGCATGGTTTGAGCATACGTCCTGACACTGCCGTCCTGCCTAAGACCCGCAAGCTTATCTCTGGCATGGCGTGTGGAGTTAACAGCTCGGAACCGGGACAAGAGCTCGTCAGAGAATGCATCCCAAGAGTACAAAGTCTCGTTGCCCCCATGGGCCAGGCAGGTGTACCGCCACCAAGACTTTGCACTCCCGGTTAACAAACTAGCAGCAAGATAAACCTGCTTATCAACAGGTGTCTCCATCCCCTGAAAGTACATCTCACAGTCGAAAATGAAGTTCTCCACTGCACCTGCGGTGGACGAACCATCATAGACCTCTGAAAACTTCAATCTGAGATTTTTACCACCAGGTGTACCAGCACCAGGTACCCCTGCCGCTGTGTAACGATTACGACTGGTTAAGCCTAACCTCGTTCTCGACAGGATTTCGTTGACCGCGAGTTAGCGAAACGGCGGTGGTTATGTGACG